CCAAGATCGGTCGTCTTGCATCCGACGGACTCTCATACACCTGCGTTCACGAAAGGACTGCCCTCCAAAGACACCAAATCAAGCAGACCGTCAAACACGGGGGCGATTGCTTGATAATTTACAACTGCATGTCGTAAAAGGGAGCGGGTTTCATGAGCGAAACATATGGTAGGGTGGACGGACTGCTCTCGCTGAGTATACTGCAGGACGATCTCAAAAACTATCTTCCAGCACGACAACGACCCGAAGCACAAGTCGCGTATCGTACAGGAGTGGCTTTGAGAGTAAGATTCAGGGGTGCTAGAGTGGCTGTCTTCCTCACCCGACCTCAACCCAATGGAGCATTTATGGGCTCATCTCAAGAGGCAGCTGGCCAAGCCTTATAAGCCTCCCACTGGTATGCTGGACCTTTGGGAGCGGGTGCAGGAGAAATGGGAGAAGATCCCGGCGGATGTGTGCACCCACCTGGTGGAAAGCATGCCCAGGAGGGTGAGGGCGGTGTCTAAGGCGAAATGGCGGTGGATAAGGTACTAGTTTGGGGTTGATGTAACTTGCTGCTTGCGCCTGGCAATAATTGTCCACATGTACCAAGATTGTTATTTTCTAGTATTTGTTGTAAACATCATTATACTTGTGTGATGTAAGGCATGGGTGTGGAGCCTTACCCCAACCTACATACACTAGGCACACCAGAAGATTAAGGCTTAATGTCCATGACCCCCTAAAATGGCAAAATTCCTCTAAGTCACAAACATGTGGACAATACTTTCCGTCAGTGTATAAATACGCCTGCGCAGTCTCTAGGGCCTGGTAGCGAGGGCGCTCAGAGAAGGGGAGGGCGCGACTGATAGCAAGCTACTCAACGTCGTCACGTGACTCCCAGACGAAGAGAGCGAGCTCAGCAGCTGCAAAGGCCTTACGCTCAATGGGCGGGGGGGCATCAGAGAGGGCACCAGGCGGGTCGGGGCAGGGGATCTTACCGTCAGCGTGAACGGCCAGAGACTGGCCATCCAGGCGATGTCCCCTCAGCTAGCGGTGGAGGTTGGCGAGCCACGCCTTAAAGTCGATCACCCGTCCCTCCGCGTCCAGGCGGAGCACAGCGTCCGCCATCGCCACGGCTGCAACAGCTGACCACCGCTAGGGGAGAAGGAGGAGAGGGCGGTGGAGAGCGGCGGTGGAGACGGCCGGCAGGAGCACTCGCACAGGGGGGGACCAGGGCCGGCAGGTCGGGGCAGCACAACAGTTCAGCGGCTCGGCGACTCGGCAACTCGGTGACGCGACGGCTCGGCTAATCGGCGGCTCGGCGGCACGACGACTCAGCTACTCGGCGGCTCGGCTACTCGGTGGCTCAGCGGCACTGTGGCGCGGCTCGGCTGCGCAGCGGATCGACGGCGTGGCGCAGCGTCTCGGCAGCATGGCGCGGCGTGACGGGGCCGGCGCGGTGGGATGGGGCTGGCGTGGCGAAATGGGGCCGGCGCAGTCTAGCGGGGCCGACGCGACGTGACGGGACCGGTGCGGAATGAGAGGGCCGGCGCGGCGGGACGTGATACCAAGTTAGAATAACGCAATGAACTAGATTGTGCCATACAGGGAGGTTTTGTACTATAGTGATGTGCCCTTTATGAGCATGCATCTATCTAACCCATAACATATACAAATAAATGTTGACAAACATACAGTTTGAGCCTGAGGCGATGTGGCTGCTCATCCCGCACTCCAAGTCCGACCAGGAAAGCAGGGGCACGTGGATTCCGGTCGCCGCCACTCCTTGCCCATACTGCCCGGTACGCTGCACACGACACTTTCTTCTCCTCGCGGGTCACACCTCCACCCCACACGGGCCATTGATCCAAGTCTTCGGGAACAGCAGCACGGCAACTCCACAGGACCACACGCCTTCGTACACCACCATCCGGAACTGGAGCCTTGAAGCATTCACCAGAGCCGGCCTCGATATAGCCCACCTCGGCACCCACTCCTTCTGCAAGGGCGCAGCTACAGCGGCAGCCAGCCTGGGGATATCCGACCGGCTGTTCAAGCGACTTGGCCGTTGGAGCAACGATAGCGCCAAGGAGCTCTACGTTACTATCGCGCAGGACCAACTTCTTCAAGCCTCCACGCAACTCCAAGACGCAGCCACCGCCCCCATGCCCAATCAGCACCAGCTATCTATTGAACACCACTGCCAACCCCTTCTACAAATGTATTAGAAGACCCAAATGAAATGCAGCACACTGCTTTTACAACAGGACCTAAGCTTTCACAATATGTAATTTTTTTTAAGTGTGTAACACTTTCTAAAAATGTGTATTGTGAAAGTGTAGCGAGGGCCAACGCAGCAAAGGCAACGTCGAAGCGCTACTCACCCTCTTTTGCCTACAAAAGAGGGACGTGAGGCCATTCGGCCTCACCCACGTTCTTCATTTCTAGTTTCTCTAGTTCAATTTCCTCGCCCACCTTGTCAACGTCTACATACATTCAGCACGTAGAAGTTATAGGCTATAATAGGTGTATGTTCTTAGAGAGTACAACCCAACCCTATATCCTACTCGTTCGGGGGGTGCTGGAGTGGAGTATTCTAGAGGTAGCCGCGGTGCAGCTGGCGGTCCAGGTGTCGGCGTCGAGCAGCAGCAGCACCAGTCGCCGCCGGTGTCTGCCCTTCGCCTGCTCTGCCTTCCCTCCCCTGACCGCTTGCCTACACCTCCCCCGCTCCTCCTCCCGTTCCTGTCCACGGTCCTGTGTTTCCTCAGCCAGACTCGTCCCCGAATAGTTTCCCACCTCGTTCCCCTCTTGTTACTCCTCCTCTGTCTCCTGGCCAGACGCCTCCGTCTCACGTTTGGTCTCGCCGTCCCTCTCATGCTCGTCATGTCTCCCTTGTTCAACGTTCTCACCCTATGTTTCTTCGTTCCCACGCGACTCGTCCTACCCTCCTTCCCTCGCCTCCTCCGTCGTCGCTCGCTGTCGTGCCTCCCCCTCTGTTTGACAAACTTCACGCAGCTCGTCCTCTTGTTCCTCGGGTCCTTGCCTCTCTCGTTACCGACCCGTCTGTTCCTCTCTTGATCCTTGACGCTCTTGTCGCTGTTGTCGGTGACTTCGCCTCTACTCGTCGCCTTGGCTACGCCACCGCTCTGGTCTCTGACCATGTCCGTCCTCCGTCCGTCGGGGCTACTCCTGCCCTTGGCAGTGACGTCCTAGAGGACAGACAGTTCGAGCTTGCTTTCCTGTCCGAGGCTGACTACGAGCACGTAGCAGCACAGCGTGACTACGAGCTTCACTCCCTAGACTTCTCCACTGCTTTTCTTCAAGGCAGCCTTCACGAGCAGGTCTACCTACGCCGACCGCAGGGCTTCACCGGTACCTTCCCTCCTAGGACCCAGTGGCTCCTGCGACGCCCGCTCTACGGCCTGCAACATGTGCCCCGCGAGTGGCACGATACGCTGCGTGCTACGCTAGCTGACCTGCAGTTCTTTCCGTCCTCTGCAAACCCTTCGCTCTTCGTTCGTGCTGGCCAGATTCCGTTCTACATCCTTGTCTATGTGGACGACCTGGTTTTCGCTACTGCAGACAGAGACGCGCTGGCCTCCGTGAAGGCCGAGCTGCTGAGGAGACACAACTGCACTGACCTAAGAGAGCTGCGTCGCTACCTTGGCCTGCAGATCTTCAGGGACAGAGCAGCGCACACCATCACTCTCACACAGTCACACTTGGTGCGCAAGGTCCTTCAGAGGTTCGGTCTTCAGTTCTCCTCCGCACAGCCCACACCTCTGCCAGTAGACCACAGGCTCTCGGCTCCAGTTCCTGAGGAGTCAGTAGAGCCCAATGGTCCTTACGCGGAGCTGGTGGGTTGCCTCATGTACCTGATGACTTCCACTCGTCCAGATCTCGCATACCCTCTCAGCATCCTGGCTCGCTTTGTGGCCACAGGCAGACACCGACCACAGCACTGGTCGGCCGCTAAGAGGGTTTTGCGTTATCTAGCGAGTACATCGGGCATGGGGCTAGTGCTAGGAGGACGCAGGCCGGTGGTCCTTACTAGGCACACAGACGTTTCTTGGGCAGACGACGCTGAGACCCTCAGGTCCTCCCAGGGCTACTGCTTTAGCCTTGGTTCGGGTGCCATCTTGTGGAGGTCCACTTGCTCCTCATCTGTTGCATAGTCTAGCTGTGAGGCTGAGATCTACGCCGGTGCCATGGCGGCACAGGAGCTCCGCTGGCTGACGTTCTTGCTCACCGACTTAGGTGAGCGGCCTAGCTCTGCCCCGGTCTTGTATGCTGACAACAGGGCCATGATCCTCCTGTGTCAGGAGCCTCGACTTGAGGGCAGAGCGAAGCACATCCAGTTGTGGTATTTCCTCATGTGTGAGCTACAGCAGCGCCGCCAGGCCCGCGTAGTACACTTGGCCTCCAATGCCGACACAGCTGATATCTTTACTAAGGCGCTTGCGCCTAAAGATCATCAGCGGCACTGCTTGCAGCTTGGTCTAGTTCCTGTAGACTCTCACTTGTTAGGACCTTGATTGTGTACTCCTCCTTATATTATATATCTTTCAGACAGGCCTTGTGGCTCCTCTTCCAGTGGCCGGACTAGTAGTGCCGCCCTGGCTTGCTCATATCTTGTTTGTAGTCTTGCTAACTGGTCTTCGGACCCGTGTCTCAGAGGTTGGACTAGTAGTGCCACCCTGAGCTGTGTGCTTCTTGCTCAGCACTACCCCTTATCTAGCCTAGGGGGTGTGTCAACTTATAGAGACATTCTGCATGTACAAGTTATAGGCTAGAATAAGTGTATGTTCTTAGAGAATCCAACCCAACCCTATATCTTGCTTGTTCTCTCTTGTTTCTAATTATTCTAGTATTCTAGTATGCTAACACACCCACCCTCTTGTGTGTGTTGTTCTTTGTTGGACGAGAACCATGTATGCTTCCGAGATGAAATGAAGCACGCTGCCTTTACAAGAGGACCTAAGCAAGCTTTCACAATACTGAGAACAACACACAGCTGCTGACTTGCCAAGGAGGACGCATGAGGGGCTTGCCTTCTTGTGTGGAAGCCCCAGGGTTTTGGCACTGCTCCACAGTGAGGGATCTTAGGGGATCCACACTCGTTTATATTGGGCAAGAAGGCGGGAGCCAGGAGCATGCTCAATCTGGCTCGTTGCCGAGCATCAGCCGAACCTGACATTGGTCGGGCACTGGTAATATGGTACGGTTGTAGGTAGAAAAGCCATTCCAGGATAGATTCTAGCAATGGCCGTTCTTGGATAGATTCCCATGCATTCCAGCCAAGTGGCCTCAAGCCTCAAGATGTGACTACAAGCACCCAGCCCATTAGGTGACAAGCCAAGGCATTAAGCTGTGACCTAATGTGCCAAGCGGAAGGCGTCAAGGCGTGGATTGGAGGCGCATGAAGACTGACACTGCTGCTGCCACACACACTCTGAGTTTCGGGGCGCGTCGAACCTCGATGTTGAGTCGTGGCTAGGAGTCTCGAGGTGTCGCGTGAGAAAGCTGGATGTCAGTGTCAAGGTAAGGATAGGAGGCGCACGAAGACCGACACTGCTGCCACGCGCACTCTGAGATCGGATGCATCGATGTCGTGCCCTCCCTCCACCACTCCCCATCGATCCGTCTGCGTGCGGGCATGCAGGAAATATGTTGTGAACGAAATGCATGCACGGATAAAAATATCCATGCACAGAGCACACAAGCGTGCATGCAGGAATCAGCGCTCGCTGGAAAATGGATACATGCATGTGTGCCCGCAGAGGCATGTGCACATGAGCGCATGAAATGACCAACATATCGAAGAAGATCAAGACAGAAACACACAGCCATCATTAAAAACCGACATAAAACCACAGGTGTGCTCTCACACACACAGATCCACACACCTGCAGACGAAACAGTGGCTGACTAAACAAATAAACTTGAGCGGCCCAAGGGCACGGCTGAGCACGTAGCTCAAGGCACCCTTCAAAAACCCAATTGCCAACCTCATGGATAAGCAAACACCCTCAACTTTCTGACATGTGTACCCAGCCTCACATGCGTACCTGACCCGCCTAAGAAGAAACCCCTGGACCCAAAGCCCCCTGAAAACCCGCCTGGACCGCCTCCACTCCACCTGAGAAACCACCTGAAGACCCACCTGGAAGTCCTCCTCCACGCGAATCACATCCATGGCTTCATCCATCTGGAGCCGCCCCCTCGCCACCGCCAGCGCCAGCACCAGCGACCGAGTGGCGCCCGCCAGGAAATCCACCGCCGCCAGGTGGAAGGGATCCATTGGCTGCAGCGCGTGGCGCAGCGCACGCACGGCGGCGTCGGGCTGGTCGGGCGGCAGCAGAGAGTAGGACACGGAGGGGCGGGCGCCGTATTCTGTCTCTATCCAGTCTAGGAGGGGGTCCCAAGCTGCTGCTTGCAGATCTGAGAGATTGTGTGGGGGAGAGTAGGGAGGAGAGTGTGGAGGGGAGAGTGGGAAGGGGAGAAAGTGGCCAGGTAGAGATAAGAAGAGGGAGGAAGGAGGGAGAGGGGACGAGATTGTAGAATTGAGACCTCCTAGCGTTGTGCGAGGTGAAGGAGCTCCCTAGGGTGCACGAGGTATCACCAGAACGTGACCACTTACAAGAGAGTCGTACGCAGGCTTACACACACTATCCTGTCCATCAGCTGGCTGGAGTTGAAGTTACCTTGGAGGGGCGGCCCCGTGGTTGGAGAGTCGGCGAGAACACTCAAAGGGGAGGCGGACGAGGAGGAAGCGGAGGAAGCGGAGGAAGCGGAGGAAGAGGAAGCCGAAGGGGAGGAGGAGGGGAGAGCAGGCGCGTGGACATGGTGTGCGGGGAGTGGTGTGCGAGTGAGCACGGTGTCGGTGTGGAAGAAGCGCAGCAGGTGCGCCACCACCTTGTCGCGGTCCGTGGGGATCTGGTCCACCGCCGTGCACACCAGCTTCATCAGCGGCATCGTGTACGGCCGCAGCTTGGCGGACTCCTGTCGGGGGAGAGGGACAGAAGAAACGGGAAATGGCTTTAAGTGGCCTCCCATGACGCAGTGCGTGCGAACAGCCACACCATGCGCATTGTGGAGATATGGTCCACGGCCGTGCACACCAGCTTCATCAAAAGCATCGTGAATGGGCGTAGCTTGGCCGAGGTGACTTTTGAGTCGACTCAAAAGTCACCTAGCTTGGCCGATTCCTGCAGCATCGTGTATGGGCGCACGAAGCTTCGCGGACTCAGTGTGGAGAGGAGGGTGAGGGGGAGAGGAAGAGGAGGATAGAGAGACAAGACGGGAAAAGCGGGCCGGGTTTTGCTATTCAACAGAGTCTAGAGAGAATTAACACCTCAACCCTGTCGTTCCCATAACCTACATCCTCCAGCCTCCCCGCAATCCCCCTTCCCCCCACCCACAGGACTCCCATTAACTTCCCCCCCCCCCCCCACCTGCCACTCCCACTCCGCCGCCAGCGCGTGCGCCAGCGCCGCGGACGGCAGGCGGATGAGGCGCTTAGCGGGCGTCTGCAGCATGCGCGCATCTAGCATTACCACCCATCCGCCTCCCCCGTCCTCCGCCGCCTGCGCATAGGCCGCCTGGAACGGCCGCTTCCGAGGCAGTGCCAAGCCTCCAGGCTCGGCTGCCGCGTCAACCGAGCCTGCTGTGCTCGCTGATTCGGATTCTGCCGAACCTTCCGCGTCTGCGGCACCGCTGCTGCTCCTGGGTGCGCCGCTAGTGCTCTCCACCCCCGCAGGGCCAGCCGCGGAGGAAAACGCGCGAGCAGCTAGCGCTCCTGCCGCATACCTGACCGTCGATTCTGCCACGAGGCAAGACGTGTGGATCGGACGGTCAATATCACGTTTGGGAAACGACGATTCATGAGCGTTAGTGTCCCTGGATCTACTAACGGAGACGGACGGATCGATCAGCAATCGCAGAGCGGCGGATATGGGAGCGATCGAAAAAAGTCGGGCCCTCGAATCGCCTATAGCCGATCCCGACGCTGTTGCCGAAGCTGATCTCAAGGATAACGCCGAAGCTAGCCCCGACGCTGCTATGGATGCTACCGATGCCCGCACGCGGCGGGTGGCGCAAGCGCGCATCACGGAGATGGCTGTGATCAGAAATCCCTGGGCAGTCCCCCACGAGGTGTGGGCTGAGGATCAATGTGACTGCAGACCAGGGCTTACGCTAGAAGGGTAGCTACCCTAAATGTAGAGAAATTAAGAGTTGTCTAGACCCTGAACCCGGATTCTGCCGAATCTCTGAATCTGGCCGAATCAATGAGCCTTGGAATTCGGATGCATTCCGTGACAGGTTTTCATGAAACCTAGGGACTAGTCTCGCAGCATGGCGTTCAGCAAGGAGAAAATCCCTCCGCCACTGAAGGAGAAAAATCTCCGTCACGTTTCAAGGGTGATTTCGGGTTTGGGACTTAGCTTTCTTTTCAATTGCTCCGTCATCTGCCCAAACATTAGAGTAGAAGGCAGAAAAGCCCTTCCGTTTAGGCAGAGTCACCGCTCGGAAAACTTGTAAGGATTCCGAGTGAAAACCCCTTGGATTCCGGAAAAAAATCGGTATGATTAGACCATAGCTCAGCACCTTCCGAAACTCCCTGGGCCCTAGCATAAGCCCTGCTGCAGACACCAGCAAAAAGCTGGGGAGGCTGATTTGCACAAATTGCCTCCAGTGGCCCTCCCAGTTCAAACTATCGCTTGGAGGTTGTGCAGAGAATCGTCGCGAACGACAGGTAGGCGAACAATACTGTGTGTTCCGCTCTGTTCGCTGAAGTCTGGCGGCCCCATAACGAATCACCTGCTCCCGTTCGGGCACCGCAAACTACAGTCTCCCATCGCGGTCGTGAGATTTCGTTCAGCTTCGTTGTTTTTCGTACACCTTGAGCCTGCCAGAGAAACACAACTTTTCAGGGTGCCGGTAGACAAAAACGCGCACGGGTTTCGCACGGCATCGTCACGGGCATGTGGGCCTTTCGCACGGGCACGAAGGTTACCATTTTGATGTTTTGCGGGGTAGGTTTGAGTGGCATATTTTGGCGAGCCATTGTTCACTTAGTTACCCTATGTTAAGTTTCGGCGCTTTCAAGCGAGAGTGAGTTTCTCTGGTGTAGCACCAGAGTGGTGGTTGGCGGGTGAGATGTTGAGTGATTTTTTCTGGTTTGGTTTGCTCCCTTTTATACTCAGAGTGATGGGGTGAGGTGTTGGAGTCGCATTTCAGCTCCAAATATTACGGGCGTGTTCTAAATATTTCTTACATTACGAACTGAAGGTTCGTGTCGTAACAATAACTACTGCGTGGATTGTGGAAATTTGTTTTCGAGTCTGTTCCTGGGTTGGCTTTCGGATGTTGAGAACGACCCCTGGCATCGGGACATCGTGACTCCATTTCGCTGCCAAGTCAGCGTTCGGTTTCGTGCGGCGACGCTCAAGCCACAAACAAACCCAGCGAGGCGTGTGTAATTTTGCGAGCTCAACGAAAGGCTCGCTGACCTTCGCCGGTGCGCTATTCCGAGCGCTGCTGGAAGTTTGTGGCGAAAACGGTTGCGGCGCACATCTTTCGTCTTGTGCCGCATGTTTGTCACCGCTGTCATGATGACGCTGCACTGCTGGCTCTGTTCACGGCCCACGTTGAGTGGGCCATTGCCCGTGTGACAACGCTAATGGGCGATGGTTCCTGATTGGGCCACGTATTGAGTTGGGCCTCCGGCGGGCACCATGTGTAGCCCGCCTCGCTATACAGTTTTCGCCACCAGAAGGGAAATCTTCGTACACCATTTCTTCTATTTATTTGTTTTTGTTTTTGCACGCGGTTTGAGCTTGGAAAAAGGAAAATGTAAAACACGGGCAAACGGGACATTGAAGGGGACAACCCACAGCAAACACTGACACTTGGTTACAATTTCTCGCTCATGCACTAAGTTTTCCTGCGCGACCTCCCAGCTCTGACACTCGCAATTGTAGAAATTGACTTGACTGTTCGCTGTCGTTCAGGCTCCAGCCAATCAGGTTCAGTGTCAACGCGAGTCATGCTGAGAACTTGGTAGGTGGGATTGAAATTTGAACTGTTCCGGGTGAGAAAATAGAGGAGAAAAGGTGTAAATAATTTATGACACAGCTCGGTTTGCGCTTGTCACACTTCAGTACACGTACAGATGTCTACAGAACGGTACAGTAGCAGTTGGGGATACTCAGGGCATGTCCTAAACGTTAAAAATATCGTTACTGGTTTTCGGTGGAGCTCGGTCTGGTAAGTAAATTCAGGGCGCTGTGCGGGTACAGTAGGATCCAGTGGGATATTCTTTTTTAAAGCCCGACCGGCAGGTTGCATATTGGTACTGTTGAGGTAGGTGGGGCGGCAAATTATGATTGGCTGACGAGGAAAAAGATGAACGAAATCGTTTTGCGAAACTTTATCTTCGTCCAGCTCCTGCTTGCGCGAGAGTCCCCGAGGGCTATGCAACCTGGCAGAGGTGTCAGGTTTGAGCCCCGTCAGGTGGCAGGGGACTCACACTTGACTCTTTGCCATGTTGCGAAGGGGTTTGCGTGCCTGCGTTTTTGCGCAAACAGCCAACCTCTTTTTTTTTTGTTCGGGCAAGTTGGAAGAAAACGAAACTCCAACTATTGGGCGTCAATTTTGCCCTTGTGCAATCAAACACACATTGGTACACTCGCACTAAACCGCCCGAAAGTCGAAATTTGTACAAATAATTATCCTTCGCGCACAGTCTTTGCAAACCTGCCAAGTTTGTCGAGGCACTAAGTTGAGGTGCTTGAGTCTCGTCAACTGCTGCTGGGGGTGGAGTCAGTTACAGGTTCTCAAGATGCAGCATCTTGAGAAAAAGAGAGTTGCAACCTGCCGGTCGGGCTTTAAGTAGTAGCTCAGGACACGCCCTCAGAATGTGCCCACAATGTTGTGTTCCCAAAACTCTCTCAGGAAGTGTTCTGCTTATTGCCAGACACGAGATCAGCCGGCCTTGTGTCAGAATACTCCTTGAAAGGCCTGACACAGACCATCAGATTTGCCCCACGCGTGCAAAAGTGCTCGTGGCATATGCCTAACCTCGAGTCTGACACGAGCTACCGAAAGACCCTCACTCCGTACGGTCCGAACGGCAGTCTGTCAGCCCAACCCACCTGGCGGGCAGTCTCGATGGTTCCATGTCAGCAGCAGATTCACGACGAATTGTCGCGGCAAAATGCCTGAGGGCGTGTCAAAAAAGTACGTCCGATTGCGGTTCGCAAAGATGTTTTACGTTCTAGAACGGTCAAATCAAATTTTAGAGCGTTTTAGTATGGTATTTTGCCAAAACGATTATTTGTGACACGCCCTAACACCCGTACGGAACTCGCCCTCCTGGCAGGCCTTCCCGCTCCAGCTTGAATGTACATCTACAGTAGTTCGAATTTCAATTCTCAATACTTTTTGCTCCCTGTGGCCTTGTCTCTCTCGCTCTTGTCCATCCACATATGCCTGTTGCGCCCAAATTTGAATAGATTGGACCTGTCCAAATTCGAGGCTAGATAGCATCGCGATAACAGGTTTCCGCCATTACAGTTTTGCATTGCGATAGTGACATCGGACAAAGGCATATCTTATCAGAGGCTCACATTACCTTGTTATTCCTTTCTCAAAATAAGAGTCCAACCATATCCTGCCTGCATCCGTCCGCTCTGAAAGCTCCAAATCTGCTTAGCATTTCTTTGTTGAGCTCAGCTCGAGTAGCCATTTTCTAGGGCGATCCAAGGCGATCAAAATGGACCCATTCATATTCCCCAGCAAGGCGGCGGAGGAGGTGGCACTCGCGGCAGCATGGTGGAACAAGCCAATCACACCGGACGTGAAAAGGATGCTGCAGAAATGGTCATCCCAGGAGGAGCACGAACCGGCGGGAGGCGGCCCGCGCAAGACCGCCAAGGCGCACTAAGGACCGGGAGGAGCAGGAAAATCTGGCTCTCAGGAGCGCTCGCCGGAGAAGCTTCTTCAGCAGCCGTGCCGTGCGGAGATGGCGCATTATCTGGACGTGCGCAACGGGTGGGAGCTGGCGGAGTGCGAGTGCCGCTTCGACCGCGCGGTGAGTCACCGCGCGCAGCGCGCGCTCAACATGATGAGCCTAGAAGACTTCCGCATGCACCTGCACAAGCAGCAGCCGGACTCCGTCCCCGCCGCCCCCGCAAACAGACAAACCAGGGCGATCCTGGACCACTCCGCGCGCGTGCCGCGCTGGGGGGCGCGCGCGGGGCTCCGCCACACGTGCAGTTCCACTGGAAGTGCGAGCGCACGTCGTATCTCTGCGCGGAGGGGATGCTCGTGGAGTGGATGGCGGAGCCTCGCGTGGGCGTGCTTATGGACCTGGGGAGGGTTAGATCCTGGCTTTCTGGGATTCTAGGTGGTGCAGGTGCCTCTTCTTCCTCTGTTGCTGCTGCTGATGCAAGTGCTAATGCCTCAAGTGCGTCTGCTACCTGGTCCTCCTGCTGCTGCTGCTGCTGCCGCTGCAGCGGCTGCTGGGCGACCTACCGCCGCACGGTCAGCTTCGCTGCCTTCCTCGACCAGGCGGATCAGGACTGCTTCGCGTCTGTACTGGTGCAGATTCTCGGTGTGAAGGAGAAAGGGGATTTGAAGGAAGGGTTTGGGTTTTTCCTGCAGGAACTGATGTCAGGCGGGCTTGAGAAGGCGCACGCGGAGGGGAAGGGGAGGGTGGGGGGGGGAGGCACCGGAGCGGGGGGTGCGCGGGGAGGCGCAGGGGAGGTGTGGGGCGGATGGGGGGGGGTGGCGGAGGGACGGATGGGATGGGGATGGGGGAGATTTTGCGAGCTATGATGCGGCTGATGGAGAGTGTAGGGGAGTATGGGGCCGGAAGAGCGGAGGAGGATGATGGGGGATCCGGGGATGATGCCACTGGGCGCCATGATGAAAATGCTTGGGGACAAAGATGCCATGGGCAGGCTCACTCAGATGTTGAGTGCGGAAGGTGGGGGGAGTGGAGGGGGTGAGGCGGGGGGAGGGGGAGGCGCAAGTGAGGGGGGTGATGGGAGTGGGGCGGATGAGAAGGATGGGGCGTGGAGGGAGAAGCTGAAGGGGCGTGTGTGGGAGCGGTATGTGGATGGGATAGGTTGGATTCTGGAGCATGGAGGGGCGGAAGGGAGGGAGTTCAGGTGCAGCCATTGCAGTGACGGCAGCAGCAGCAGCAGCAGCAGCAGCAGCAGCAGCAGCAGCAGCAGCAGCAGCAGCAGCAGCAGCAGCGGTGGTAGCAGCAGCAGCAGCAGCGGTGGTGGTAGCAGCAGCAGCAGCAGCAGCAATAGCAGCATGAGCGAGACGGATACCCCCAAGGGCATGTATGTGAGCGGCGTGGGTGCCACGGATTTCGCCCTGGGCGTGGCGTCCGTGCTCTCGAAGCCACAGTACTGCAGGGAGGCGCAGGTGTTCGTCCTGGATGGCGACAATGCAAACAAGACACGCGTGGAAAATGCTGCCATTGACGCAGCCAGGAAGCGGTTGAACAGGGAGAGGCTGGCAAGGGAGAGATCCACAAGCAAGGGTATGATGAATCAGGGAGAAGCTGACACTCTTTCCAACGCTGCTGCTGCTGCTGCTGCTTCGGTTGACACCAGTGTTTCTATCGGCACCAATGCCTCTCTGGGCAGCAGGGCTGTTCCTGCCACTCGAGTCGTTCCAGTCAACACGAACCCTGTCATTGCTGCCTTCACGTATCGGGCAGGGTGCATCTTGCAGTGGGTCCGGATCTACGGCTCAGATTTCTTCTCAGCAAAGAAATGCTCCAAGGGCAGCCTGCACGGCAAGGTCCGGCAGATGCGCCACCCGCTTCGGGACCTTCCGAGCCTGCTGGTGAGGCTCGGTGCCATCCCCAAGCCTCTGGAGGGAAGCAATTTCCCCTTGGAGTGGGAGGAGTGGCCTCAGGGCGATGAAGCTGCTGTGAAGCTTCCTGCTGACCCGAGTGCAAGGTGCTTCCGATTGGGAATAGTGGATGAGAGTGAGACAGGTGGGGACTGTGGGGAGGATGGGGAGGATGGGGAGGATGGGGAGAGGTCATCTAAGAAGGCATCAAAGGCAGGGGGGAAAGGGAAGGGAAAAGCTGGGAGGGGGCAAGGAGGAGGCAGGGGGGGTGGGAGGGGGAGCGGCAGGAACAGAAGCCGTGGGGACGGGCCGGTGAGCCTGATGGATGCGCTAACAGGTGCAGCTGCGCCCCAAAACAGAACGATCCCCATCGTCCGCTGCAGGGCAGATGCGGAGTTTCTCGTCGAGTTTGCCGGGTACTTGGTGGAACCACCCGCATGCTCCCAGTGCACTGACTGCTTCCACACGTACACCTCCTTCCTCCCCACCCTCGCCCTCATCGCTAACTACGCCTACCGCCCCGCCACTGTCCTATTCAACCGTTTTGTATCTATCTTCCCGGCACACTCCCCGGAGTTCAACGAGCTCCTGAGTCTCTTGCAGATGGAGCCGTTGCCGTCGAATGTTTCGCCATTGCTGAATCTGCATGTGGTGAGAAAGAGGGCAGAGCAACTGCCGGTGTTCTTTCTGCTCCAAGTCGCTCTGCACTGGCCAAAATCCGTGCTGCAGGGAGGAAAATCGAGAAGAAAAGGAAGAAGGCCAAGGGGGAGGAGGAGGAGGATGATGGGGAGGTGTGGGAGGAGGTGCGGGCGTGGTGCGTTGGAGCCATGGTTGCTTGGAAGTCGACATTGCGGGTGGTGGGGTCGGGGTTGAGTGAGACGTGCAAGGGCGGCGGCAAGGGGCGGAAGGGGAAGGCGAGCAGCGCGGATTGGGCGAGGAGGATTGGTGGGATGTGGCCGAGAGCCATTGAGACCAGGTTCTGTGAAGACAAAGAGATGCAGGAGCATGAGGGGCCTGGCAGTGCCAGCAGCAGCAGCAGCAGTAGCCCCAGCAGCGGCGGCAGTGGCAGTAGCAGCAAGTGGGGTAGTGGCAATGAGGGGAGGGGCGAGGTGGGGGAGGTGCCGGCTTATCTGAAGCCATGGCCGGGAGGGATCAATCTGGTGGCATGTCTGCGAGAGATGCTGCTGGGGCAGCCATGCTACCGCCCTCCCTCCCGTGCTGCCTCCTCCTCTCCTGCTGTCTTTTCCACCCCTGCTACTGTATCCGCTTCTCTTGCACCAAACAACACTGCTGCTGATGACTCTAGCGCAGCAGCAGGGGCAGCAGCAGTAGCAGCAGCACCAGCTGGTTCCAAGTCAGAGAGCTGTGTTGCTGCTCGTAGTGGGGGGCGTGTGTGCGGTGCAGAGGGGTGTGGGAAGGTGGAGGGAGGTGGTGTGAAGCTGAAAAGCTGTTCTGGGTGTGGCAAGGTGGCGTATTGCAATAGGGAATGCCAAAAGGCGCACTGGGCCCTCCACAAGCTCGCATGTCGGGCAAAGTGCAGTGGCAAGGTGAGTGGCAACGTGGGCGGAAAGGAGGGTGGCAAGGTGGGTGGCAATGTGGGTGGCAAGGACACTTGGACAGATACGGTGCAGGTAAAGGCGAAGGAAAGAGGTACTGAACGGTGAGGAGAGGTACGGGAAGGTCAATAAGGAGGCATGGCAAGTAGGTTGCTGCTCAGGCACCCTGCCCATACCTCTCATACTTGCCTCGCCAAGGACAAGGACATACGCTGGGTGCCTTGCCTGGCGTGCCTGCTCTGAAATGTTTGAAATTTGTATGTTCGGAGATTTGTCTCGTGTGGCAGCTGCTGGGATAGCCTGTATATGACTTAGGCTGAGGAAATTTTGTTGCATTGCATGTTGTCGCATGTCTATCCCCCCCTTCCACTTTTCTCCTCTCCCGCCTTTTCTTCTCTATTTTCTTCCTCCTTACTTACCCGAAACCGAAACCCTCCCCTCTCCTCCCCTTTCGGCTTGATCCGCACAGGCATAACGTCACCATAGACACACGCTGCAACCTCCGATGTTGTAGAGGTTTGCATCCTGCAGTCACATCGTCCATCCAACTACTAGGCTTGTCATATCATTGTGTGACTCGCATCGCAAGGAATGCTGTTGAAGGGAACGACCTTTGGTGTCCATTTGCTCTGATTTCTGGTACCTTTCTCCAGCATGGCGTCCTGACGCCCTGTCCTTTTTGCCAGGGAGACACTGCTGTTACCTGTCTTACATGTTGGGATGGGGTGGCCAGGAATTTTCCTTTCCATCATCTTTCACTCCCTAGCAGGCCTTCTCGCTGCTGCGTGCTCCATTTCTGCTGCTTTTTGCTCTCGCTTCTTGGCTTTATGGACTTGGATGCACACAGCTGCTCTCATAAAAGGAGTGTCCCTAGTTTCACGAGATTTGAACCCTTCGGGTTTAGGGCCCTTCTTCTCCACTCACATTCTGCTACGCATGTTTATTGGACACAGAGCTATTTGTCAGAAACCCAGTCACTAACCACTGGGTTAAAAGGGCTTGTTAATAGCGGGTAAGTGCGCCCATAGCCCCCCAGCCTCTGCACCTGTGGCCCTTCCCCGAGGATCTTTTCAAGGGTAACCTGTTAAAGTGGGAACTGAATGATAACTAGAAGTGGAAACCTAGAACAAGTACTAGCTGGTTGTACTCATTAGAAACATACCCCAGTCTAGCCTATAACTTGCACACTGTCAGAAACCCAGTCACTAACCACTGGGTTAAAAGGGCTTGTTGAATAGAGAGTAAGTGCGCCTATAGCCCCCCAGGCTCTGCACCTGTGGCCCTTCCCCGAGGATCTCAAGGGCAACCCCAGCGGGTCACTCAACACCCCCCCCCCCGCTGGGATAGGTGGAAGACACGAGCGCCTCTGCAGCGCTGGCACTGGGAGTTGAACCCAAGACCTTTGGCTCTAATACCATGTCAGAAACCCAGTCACTAACCACTGGGTTAAAAGGGCTTGTTGAATAGCGGGTAAGTGCGCCCATAGCCCCCCAGGCTCTGCACCTGTGGCCCTTCCCCGAGGATCTCAAGGGCAACCCCAGCGGGTCACTCAACACACACAACTAACATGTATAAGTTGACACACCCCTTAGGCTAGACAAGGGGTGAAGCTAAGCAAGAAGCAAACAGCTCAGGGTGGCACTACTAGTCCAACCACTGAGGCAGGGGTCTGGAGACCAGTCAGCAAGGGTACAAACAAGACTAAAGCAAGCCAGGGCGGCACTACTAGTCCAGCCACTGGAGGTAAGGCCACAAGGCCAGTCTGACAGGCATATATAATAGAGAGTACACAATCATGATCCTAACAGGTGAGTAGCTACAGGAACAAGACCAAGCTGTACACAGTGCCGCTGATGATCTTTAGGCGCAAGCGCCTTAGTAAAGATATCAACTATGTTGGCACCTGAGGCCAAGTGAACTACGCGGGCCTGGCGGCGCTGCTGTAGCTCGCGCAGGAGGAAGTACCGCAGCTGGATATGCTTCGCTCTGCCCTCAAGCCGAGGCTCCTGACACAGGAGTATCATGGCCCTGTTGTCAGCGTACAGGACCGGGGCAGAGCTAGGCCGCTCACCTAAGTCTGTGAGCAAGAAGGTCAGCCAGCGGAGCTCCTGTGCCGCCATGGCACCAGCGTAGATCTCAGCCTCACAGCTGGACTGAGCTACAGACGACGAGCGAGTGGATCTCCAAGAGATAGCACCCGAACCAAGGCTAAAGCAGTAGCCCTGCGACGACCTGAGCGTCTCAGAGTCGTCTGCCCAAGAAGCGTCTGTGTGCCCAGTAAGGACCACTGGCCTGCGTCCTCCTAGCACTAACCCCATGCCCGATGTACTACCAAGATAACGCAAAACCCTCTTAGCAGCAGACCAGTGCTGAGGTCGGTGTCTGCCTGTAGCCACAAAGCGAGCCAGGATGCTGAGAGGGTATGCGAGATCTGGGTAAGTGCAAGTCATCAGGTACATGAGGCAACCCACCAGCTCTGCGTAGGGGCCACTGGTCTCTACGGGCTCCTCAGGAACGGGAGCGGAGAGCCCATGGTCTACAGGTAGAGGTGTGGGCTGTGCGGAGGAGAACTGAAGACCGAACCTCTGAAGGACCTGACGCACCAAGTGTGACTGTGTCAGAGTGATGGTGCGTGCTGCTCTGTCCCTAGAGATCTGTAGGCCAAGATAGTGACGCAGCTCTCCAAGGTCAGTGCAGGTGTGTCTCTTCACAAGCTCAGCCTTCACAGAGGCCAGTGCGTCCCTGTCAGCAGTAGCGAAGACCAGATCGTCTACGTAGACAAGGATGTAGAACAGATTCTGGCCGGAACGCACAAACAGAGAAGGGTCAGCAGAGGACGGAAAGAACTGCAGGTTTGCTAACGTGGCCCGCAGCGTGTCGTGCCACTCGCGAGGAGCCTGACGCAGGCCGTAAACCGGGCGCCGGAGAAGCCACTGGGTCCCAGGGGGGAAGGTACCAGTGAAACCCTGTGGTCGGCGCATGTAGACGTGCTCGTGTAGGCTGCCCTGAAGAAAGGCGGTCGAGAAGTCGAGGGAGTGAAGCTCGTAGTCGCGCTGTGCTGCTACGTGTAGCAGCGCCCGAAGAGTGGTCATCTTCGGGGTCGGGGCGAAGGTCTGGAAGAAGTCAACCCCCTCGCGCTGACTGAAGCCTCTGGCCACGTAGCCCGCCTTGAAGACAGGCGGCTCTCCAGGGGGGCGCTTCACCTTGAAGAGCCACCGACCATCGACTACGTTCACCCCAAGCGGGGGAACTGCGTCGACGTAAGTGCCGGTGGACCTCCAAGATGTCATCTCCTGCTCCATGGCAGCTATCCACTGGGAGGCCCAGGGTTCCGAGGTGGCCTCAGCGTAGGTGCGAGGGGTCAGGATGTCGAAGGCGTCTGGGTCACGCTCAGGGACTAAAAACATGGAGCAGAGATGGGGAGCAGCCTCAGAAAGGAAAGCAAGCTCGTACTGCCTTTCCTCTAGGACGTCACTGCCAAGGGCAGGAGCACCCCCGACGGACGGAGGACGGGCAGGGTCAGAGACCAGAGCGGTAGCGTAGTCAAGGCGGCGGGTAGAGGCGAAGTCAGCGACAGCAGCGACAAGCGTGTCAAGGCGCGAGACAGGAACAGCAGGGTCGGTAACAAGACAGGCAAGGACCCGAGGGACAAGGGGACGAGCGGCACGGAGGTAGTCAGAGAACGGAGGAGGTGCAACAGCAAGGGTCGAGGGAGGAGGGGACGGGAGGAGGGGAGGACGAGACGAGCGGGAACGGAGCAACATAGGGTGGGTGGGCAGGACAGGAGAGACGGGACGAGCACGGGTGGGACGGCGAGACCAAACGTGAGACGGAGGTGTAGGGTCAGGGGACAGCGGAGGGGACACAGGAAGGGAACAAGGAGGAAGACGGGCCGGAGACGAGTCCGGCGGCGGGAACACAGGACCGTAGACAGGAAGGTCAGCAGGCGATGGGGGAGACACCGGCGTGCGGTCCGGGGAGGGAAGGCCGAGCAGGCGGAGAGCGGAGACCGGCGGCGACGGCTGCTGCGGCGGCGGCGACGGCTGGGCCGGAACCCTCGGACCGGCAGAGGCAGGACGACCGTCGGCAGAACACTCAACAGCAGCACCCCCAGAACCAACACCCCCAGAGCGAGAACCCCCTCCAACACCAGCGGCAGCCCCAGAAGACGCAGGACGAACACCCTCCTCAACACCAGCACCCCCAGGGGCCAAGAGCTGCGGCGACAGGGGCGGCGACGGCTGCGGCGGCGACGACAGCAGTGACGGCTGCGGCGGCGACGGCGGCGGCGGCTGCAGCGGGGTCGGCGACTGCGACAGTGGGGGCGGAGGCACCGGGGAAGGGGGACGCGGCAAGGACGGACCGGGGGTACCACCAGAGTCGGCAGACTCCTCAACGGGGACAACCGACGGGAGGGGAGTGACGTGAGAGACACCAGACGGGGCAGGACGAGGCGGGAGAGGGGCAGGGGCTATCGGGGGAGAGGGAGCAAGGAATAGGGGGGGGGGCAACCGGGAGACCTCGGTGAGGGAAGCGGCGGTAGAAGGAGACAGACTCGTCAAAGGTGACGTCACGAGAGTGGAGGAAGCGGTGAGACGGCGGGTGGTAGAAAAGCCAGTCAGACGAGTCCAGGGGGAAACCGTGGAAGACACAGGGGACAGTGCGGGCAGTGAGCTTGTCCGTGCCAGAGGCACGAACGTGAGCAAGGCAGCCCCAGACGTGGAACGCAGACGCGTCACCGGGGGACCCGGTCCAAATGAGGGTCGGCGAAACCTACGGCCGCTGGGAGCGTGGCCACAGGTTAAGCTGGTGAGCAGCGTAGCGAACAGCGAACGGCCACAGAAAATGGGGGGCATCGGCATGAATCATGGAGGTACGGGCGACCTCCATGACCAAGCCGATGCGGCGCTCAGCGACCCCATTCTGCTGTGGCGAGTCCGGCAACGTGTACGACTGGGTGATGCCCTCCGCACGACAGAACTGTCCAAGCCGACCAGAGGCGAACTCGCCGCCACGGTCAGAGTGGAGACATAACACGGGGAGACCGCGATGAAGACGCGTAGCTACGACCCACGGTAGAAGAACGTCGGGCACGTCGGCCTTCCGCTCCAGGGGAAACACCGTGGTGTAACGCGTGTAGTCGTCGACGAGCACAAGGAAGTAGCGCTCACCTCGCGGTCCAGGGACATGGGCGGGGCCCCAAACGTCCAGGTGCAGGGTCTGAAGGGGGGCAGTAGCAGAGCGCAGCGAGGAGGAGTGAGGGGAGCGGCGTAGCCGGCCCTCGACGCAAGGCGTGCACGGTGGCGCAGTCGAGGGAGGAAGGGCAGGGAGCAACGCAGGGAGACCTAAGACAATACCATGCTGGGACATGTGACGCAGACGTTGGAGTGCAGGGTGACCTAGGCGGTGGTGCCAGAGAAGGGACGGGTGAGTGAGGGACCGACACGAGCAAGCTGCAGCGACCTGGGAGGACGCACCAACCGGGGGGGGAGCGGTGTCTAGGGTGAACAGACCGGACACCGGGTCCCGGGGGAACGTCGCAAGAAGGGAACCTGAGACAGACTCAGAACAGACAGCGAACCGCTCGTGCCCGGGGAACGTGGTGGGTGACGCCGAGGTCCAGGAGACAGCCGACACCAACCAGGTTCCTCGAGAACGAGGGAAAGTGGAGACCTGTAAGGGAGCCTGAGGGAACTGCTGGACAGGGAAGGGACGTAGAACTGCGAGTGACGACAGGACCCGCAGAGGGGTTAGCGAGAGAGACAACAGCAGGCGTAGCAAGCGGCGTGAGCGCGGAGCGGTCGCGGAAGAAGCAGGCAGAGGCACCGGAGTCGAGAGTGAAGGACAGCGAAGCATCGGCGGAGGCCGAGAACGGAGCCGGTGCAGAGACTAGGCTAGGCAAACTAGGCAGTCCTACGCTTGACGCAGCAGGGGAGGCTAAGCTACACAATGGTGCTACACCAAGGCTAGAGTACACAGGGTAATAAGATCCAGCAACACTAGAAGCGTCAGAATACAAAGCATGCAAAGCAGCACCTATCCGATCCATGTCTAAAAGATCGGCACGCCCTGGCGGAGCAGGCTGTGCCAGTCGGGGAGGTCCGGAGCCGAGCCAAAGCGACGACGAAAGAGATCGTCGAGGCGGCGGAAACAGCGGGCGGTCGGGTGCGGGCGGCGGCACAGAGTGCCGCGAAGAGGCCCGGTCTGAAGCTGGTACTGGCAGGTCACGGCACCGGAGCCGCCGGTAGACGCCAAGCTGCGCGGCCCACCACCACGGCCACTACCTCCGGAGGTGCCGGGCCAGCCAGCCGGGAGTTTGGCCCACTGCTGCGGCGACTGCTGCTGGGGCGGCGGTTGCGGCTGGGGCTGCTCCTGCTGCGGCTGGGGCTGCTGCTCCTGCCCACCGGTGGTAGTCCCCTCAGGCGGACTTCCGTCACGACGACCACCACCACCACTACTTGCACCACCACCCCTACCTCCCTGACGATCACGGCCACCACGGCGCGAGCGCTGCTGCGGGTGGACCGCCGCAGCCATCTCGATGAGAGGGGTCGCCGTGGCGACCACAGCCGAAACGTCAATGAACACGCACTGGGAGGGGGCACAGCCGTGAAAGGTAGAGACTGCCGGCGCACCGCTCGACTAAGCGATAGTGCGCTGGCGAGTCTCGATCTCGGTGAGGGTATCGACAAAGGCGGTGAGGGTGAGATCACCCGGGTGCTGGCTAAGGAAGTGATCGCGAGCACTAGCGAGGCGGTCTGGCAGGCGCATGACGATAAAATAAAGCGTCATGCAGAAAGGGGGGGGGAGCGCAGTGAGCTGGGCAGCAGTGCTGGCAGTGCGATAGCGGGTCTCTAGGGCACGCAGGTGAGTGGCAAAGTCTGCGACGGTAGGGAAGGCTGCAAGGTCTGGGAAAAGCATAGGGAAGAGCAGGCGGCCAGCAGAAGCAGACGCGGGTGTGGAATAGCGAGCAATAACGTCGTCTAAGTAAGCTTTGGCCGTCTCAATAGTAGCAAAGCGCGAGTGCTCAGACACAGGTAGGGCGTGGCTAATAGCAACCTGAGCGACTGCATCGCGGGAGTCCAAGACCGCACGGGCAAGCGTAGCAGTAGAGAAGGTCTCACGGTCATCAGAGGAGGGGTCAGCAGGGAGGGGAGCAGGTGTGGGGGGGCAGGGGAGCAAGCCATCGACATGGACAACCAAAGAGTGGCCATCCTGGCGCTGACCTGTAAGGTGGCGGCGGAGATCGGAGAGCCAGGCGGCGAAGTCAACCGCATGACCCTCAGCGTCCAGGCGGAGCACGAAGTCGGCCATCGTGCAGGGTCAGCGGCACAGCTCCACAGCTCCGCAGGAACACAGCGACGCAGGGACACGGCGGCGGCACTCTCCAGCACGGCAGCCGCGAGACGCCCCGGCGCAGGCGAGCAGAGGAGACGGAGCCCGAGGTGGCACGACAGGCCGAGCAGGCACGAAGAAGGGCCAGGCGAGTAGTGGGAGAGGCCAGAGAGACGCGGCGGGGCCAGGCAGGCGCAGCAGGGCCAGGCAGGTGCGGCGGGGCCAGGCAGGCGCGGCGGGGCCAGGCAGGCTCGGCGGGGCCAGGGAGGCGCGGCGGGGCCAGGGAGGCGCGGCAGGGCCAGGCAGGCACGGCGGGGCCAGGCAGGTGCGGCGGGGCCAGGCAGGCGCGGCAGGTGTCAGGGAGGCGCGGCGGGGCCAGGGAGGCGCGGCGGGGCTAGACGGATGCGACGGGGCTAGGCAGGCACGGCAGGGCCAGGGAGGCGCGGCGGGGCCAGGGAGGCGCGGCGGGGCCTAGCAGGCGCGGCGGGGCCCGGCAGGCGCGGCAGGGGCCAGGCAGGCGCGGCGGGGCCAGGAAGGCGCGGCGGGGCCAGGCAGGCGCGACGGGGCCAGTCGGGCGCGACGGGGCCAAGCGGGCGCGGCGGGGCCAGGCAGGGCGCGGCGGGGCCAGGCAGGCGCGACGGGGCCAGGCAGGCGCGACGGGGCCAGGCAGGCGCGACGGGGCCAGGCAGGCGCGGCGGGGCCAGGCAGGGCGCGACGGGGCCAAGCGGGCGCGGCGGGGCCAGGCAGGGCACGACGGGGCCTAGCAGGCGCGACGGGGCCCAGGAGGGGCGTGACGGGGCTAGGAGGCGCGACGGGGCCAAGGAGGGGCGCGGCGGGGTAGGGGACGCGACGGGGCCCAGGAGGGGCGCGACGGGGCTAGGGGGGCGCGATGGGGCCCAGGAGGGGCGCGACGGGGCTAGGAGGCGCGACGGGGCCCAGGAGGGGCACGACGGGGCCCAAGAGGGGCGCGACGGGGCTAGGAGGCACGGCAGGGCCCAGGAGGGGCGCGACGGGGCTAGGAGGCGCGACGGGGCCCAGGAGGGGCGCGACGGGGCTAGGAGGCGCGGCAGGGCCAAGGAGGGGCGCGACGGGGCTAGGAGGCGCGACGGGGCCCAGGGGGAAGCGGCAGGGCCTAGCTAGGGTACGGGCGGAAGCGGTAGGCGGGGGATCCTAACCTACGCGTGATACCATGTTAAAGTGAGAACTGAATGATAACTAGAAGTGGAAACCTAGAACAAGTACTAGCTGGTTGTACTCACTAGAAACACACCCCAGTCTAGCCTATAACTTGTACACAGCTAACATGTATAAGTTGACATAACCCAGCAGGTCAGCTTGTCTCGCCCCCCCGTGGGTCCAGATTATTATTTGCTCTGCAGACAATTCAGCATTGCAATATAATAGCATAGGCAATAAAATAAATGCCCTGGCCTTCAATTTTATTCTACAACCCACTGGCAAGTCAGCTTGTAGGTAGGTGTACACAAAGAGGCCAAAGTCTACCCGGAACGACTTCCCAACAGCATTTACGCAACCCATGCGCAACCGAGCCCAGGCTTCTTTCCAACACACGATGTGTGGACCAAATTTGCCCAGTATAGGGAGTCATCGAAACATTTGGATATTGGTGTGGTTTGGCATGGTGGGGGGGGGTTGAATAGGTGTCCCAAGTGCGTGTGCTGATCTGAAGACCAACGATGCACACAGGGGGGTCTTCTTGTCTCACCCCTCCGATGGTACCACACGTGGTTTGAATTTTAAGGTGCAGGGCTCATGGCCCTGCACAGCAGGCAAAAGGCTTCTAGGGAGGAATGAGGGAGAGAGGGGAGGAAGATAAACGGCATGCGAGGAGGAGAGGGGGCAACATGCCAGCCTAGGGTGCAGCAAGGCCAGCCACCTGCATGAATCGCTCCGTAGCCTGCAGCAGGGGTGAAAGGGAGAGGGGAGGGATGAGGATGAGGGTTAACATGGGAGGAGGACAAGGGGGGGTAACATGCTACAAGAAGGGGCGTTATCTAAGGCCCAGCAAGGCATATTGCACATGCCAGTCACGTGCAATGCCAGTCACACGCAATGCCGGTCACATGCAATGCCAGTCACGTGCAATGCCGGTCACGTGTATAGTGAAAAGGGATGAGGTGAGGGAGGAGGGAGGAGGGAGGAGGGAGGTGGGAGGAGGGGTGAGGGAGGAGGGGTGATTCGCGAGAAAGCGGGAATGCAGGAGGCACAAGGACTTACAGCCTGCCATGTGAATATTCTCTTCTCCTCCGGTGTTAGCGGGCGGGGGGGATGCGCCAATGCACGCGCCACTGCTGCAGAGAAGTCATCTGAGAGGAAGAGGGAGAGACAGGAAGAGAGCGGATGCAGGGTAAGGGGGAGGGGGGGAGCGGAGTGAGGGATGATAAGAAGCTAATGAGAACTGAGGATTCAAACTGTATCTTGGAATGCCAAGGCTATGTTACCATAAACGCTCGGCCAGAAATTTCCAGGCAGCCCGGCGGGAAAAAAACTATTTTTCTTTTCCTCGACACTGAGCCTTGGCGAATTCAACCAGACATTCGTCAAGTTGCAAAATTTCAACCTTGCGACCAAGAAACGCATCCAACCCTTTTGCCCTGCTCAACCACACTGCACTCTTTTCTATGTACGACTTCCAACCTAACCATTTTCTTCCTTCCTTCCCTCACAATGTCTTCCCCGTAAAAAACGCTAACCCTAGAGTTTCGCGCGCCATTGTGGTAGCGCAAATCCAGCCACTATTCTCTCACCTCCCACAATAGCCGCCTAATTTTGCGCTAAGTTAAGGGCCTCGCCCATGTCGACCCCCCTTAATGATGCAGACGTTAATCCTACAGCGTCCCTCCCTGGAAAGATTTTGGATGAAAATGTTTGCTGCCCTACCTCCACCTGGTTTTTTTCCTGCCCAGGGATTTTTTTTGCTGCCCGAGTGTGCGTTTAACCTTGCGTTTAGAAATCCAGGCAGGCACGTTTAGCATTTAAACGCTAGCGTTTAAACAATGCGTTTAAAATGCTAAACTTGTTTACGGTAACATAGTGCCAGGGAATATGCGACCGATCAACAGGAGATGCTGTTCTCATCACCATCACCATCACCACCACATCACCACCACATCACTGTACCTGGGTCGTTGGGGTCATAGATGACGCAGTTATCAGGTATGTTCTGAATGAAGAACTCGTTGGACGGGTGCCGGCACAGCACCAGGATTTTCCCCATGGCTGCTGCCTCCGCTGTCGTCGTGCACAGCACGTCGCTCACACTCGGGTTCACAAACACCTTGAAGCTGGAAGAATTAATGGGAGGATGGATGGCACGGAAGCAGTGGGGAAGGGAGATGGGTAAGACGGGTTTGGTCGTGGGGACGGCCAGGTGAGGAGTGGGATGCACCAGAGCGCGCACACGCAAACAGCAGCAGGATCTTCCCCATGGCTGCTGCTTCCGCTGTCATTGTGCACAGCACGTTGCTCACACTTGGGTGCACAAACACCTTGAAGGTGGGACAGGGGAGGGGACAGGGGAGGGGACAGGGGAGGGGGCAGGGGAGGGGGCAGGGGAGGGGACAGGGGAGGAGTACGGTGCGTGGGAGTGCATGAGCAGAGCACGTCGCTCACACTCTGGGGTTCACAACACCTTGACGGTGCACACAAGGATGGCAAGTGGTGGAGACCGGCATGGTGAAAAGAAGAGGGTAGGCATGCTATGCATGGGAGGGCAGAGGGGAGGAGATGGATGCATGGGAAAAGCAGGGCGTTCGAGAGCTCACACCTGGATTCACAAAGACCTTGAACGCGCGGACAGGAGGGGAGGAGATAAGAGGATAGGCGGCAGGTGCGGATGTGGGTGTGGGGGGGGGGGGAAAGAGGGGGGGGGGGGGGGGGGGGGGGGGGAGGAGAGTGACATGGGAGGCAAAAAACTGCACAAGAGGCGTCTATTTTTGAGGCGCCTCAAAAATAGACTCCTCACACATGAGAGGCAAGAAACTGTGCAAGAGGCAAGAGAGGGGACGAGCGAACAGGGGGACTCACTTGCGGATCTCAGGGTCTGCGTGGTCCTTGCGTCCGTGGAACACTATTGGTAGCTCGTGCCTGGTGGTGGTGCGTGCGGGGCACAGGACACGGGAAAAGGAACATGGGAGATAGGGCATGGAAGAAAAGCGATGTCAAGGATGGGAGTGGGGGGAGAATACATAAGTCCACTTGAGAATGGGGTGAGGGAAGGTGGAGCGGAGAGTTGATTGGCCGGGGGGAGGAGTGCGTGAGTGTGTGTGTGTCTGAGCGTGTGGGGATAAGCACAGGCACGCGCACACAAACAGCCCACATACAGGTGCCTCCACCTCATCCCCGTCCCTCCCAAGCAGGACGGGAGAATTAGTCACCAGCAAAACACCCGTCCCTCTGCGCAGACACAAACCCGGCACTCACTTGGCAGCAAACGCCTTCACTTGCCCCTCCTCAAACCCATCTCCGTACGCATGCACCCAGAACCTCTCCCCATCCTCCCCACCCTCCTTCCCTTTTGCCTCCTCCTGCACCCCTTTCGCCTCATCCTCCCCTTGCTCCTCCTTCCTCTCTCCCTCTGCTGCAGCCTTGCCCACTTCGCTGTGATAGCACCCGTTGCGAGGCCTGGGCGCATCACATGCACAAGCGCCACCGGTATGCGCGTTCCGATGACCATCTGTGACTGCATCTGCGTCTGCGTGTGTGTTTGTATGCCCGTTCGTGTGTGCATGCGTGAGTGTGTTTCCATGCCCGTTCGTGTGTGCATGTGAGAGTGTGTTTCCATGCCCGTTCATCTGTGCGTCTGCCTTCCTGTCTGTGCTTGCACGCACAGCAGCAGGCACAGCAGGGGGCAGGGCAGGGGGGAGCGTGGGGCGGCCGTGCTTGTTGCAGTGGTGCCGCATCAAATCGCAGAGCTCCTGGTAGCCCTTGCCCCAGAGAACCTGCCATGTAAAAAATGCAGGTGAGCATGAGAGCAGGCGGGGAGAGGAGGGGAGGGTGATTGTTGAAGAGAATTCACTGCACGGTTAAGCCCCATTTAATCCCATGGCTCCTGGTAGCCCCCCCTTGCCCCAGGGCACATGTGGGGTACGGGATGCAGGGAGCCTGGGAGGAGGAGGGAAGAGGAGAGGAGGAGGGGTGATGAGAAGGAGAGTGTCCCCTCCTAATAGAGCAAGTTGATGCCATATCAGGGACAACTGATACGATTCTGTGCTACTCCTCGCTGCTGTACCTTCTCCCTATCCCGGGCTCCTCTCTACTGGAGACTAGAGCGGGAATGGATGGCGCTTGCCATGGCAATGCCATGCTGCATTGTACATGGTGCAAGGGGCAGCAGCAGCAGCAGCAGCAGCAACAGCAGCAACAGCAGCATCAGCAGCATCAGTAGCAGGAGCCTGTGACCCTCCCAAACCAACCCCTGATGATGACCCACCTTGCCCACAAAGAGGAGTCTATTTTTAAGGCGCCTCAAAAATAGACTCCTCACGCAGCAGGAGCCTGTGGCCCTCCCAAACCCACTCCTGATGAATACCCACCTTGCCCACAAAGTAGACCCCCGACGCATGCGGCGGGGTCACATGCGATTCGTCCAGGAACTGGGGAGACACCTGGCGGGCGGGAGACAGGGATAAAGGGCGGGACAGAAACACATAAGGACAAGGACAAGGAAAGGACAGCCATGCACGTTCCACATGACTGAGCTGCACGGCTGCACAGCTCCCTACCTACACCCTGGTTTCCCCCCCCTCCCCCCCCCTTGCCCCTTTCTCTTACCACCCCATCGCCTCCTCCCCTCCCACCACTCACCCCATGCACGTTGCACACCACCGAGTCACTGAGCGGCTGCACGGCGCCCGACAGGCGGATCACCCCATCCAACTCAATCCCCTGTTTGCAGAACCCCCTTCCATCCCCCACTCCTCCCCTCCCACCACTCACCCCATGCACGTTGCACACCACCGAGTCGCTGAACGGCTGCACGGCGCCCGACAGGCGGATGACGCGGTGGCAGTTGGCGCGCGCCACTAGCCACGAGTACACCAGCAGGAACGCCGCCGCGTGCGGCCCGCCGTACTGCAGGTCGCGCTTGATGTACTCGGTGTAGTTGGTGTGCGCTATGCCGAGTGACAGGGGGAAACGAATTCTCCACTTGGGGCCGACCATGTGGTACCTGTTCGGGAGAAGAGTGGGAGTCATGGTGGGAGTGAGGGGGGAACGAGGGCCCGCCGTACTGCAGGTCGCGCTTGATGTACTCGGTGTAGTTGGTGTGCACTATGCCCAGCGACAGAGGGAAGCGCGTGCGCCACTTCGGGCCAACCATGTGGTACCTGGGGAGAGGCACGGGGGAAGAGGGGGCATGGGGGGAGATTGCGTGGGAGAACGTCAGCCGTAGAGCCGGAGTCGCTCAAGATGGGTGAAGACGACCGACATAGAGAGCGCAAGCCATGCTCGGCGCATACACATGGCGCCTAAATGGTGCTCTCTCGGACCAACATACAGAGCAAGCCTTACTCGACATACACCAGCACAGGTGCCTACCAGCATGGCGCATACACCATACGGCTGGTGTGCAGCATGCCGAGACAGAGGCAAACAGAGACGAGAGGGCGAAGGTGATACGCCACAGCACACGCCCGTGCTGATATGGCTCACACATACCAGCACAGGTGCCTACCATCACAGGTGCCTACAAGCACAGGTGCCTACCAGGTGAGGTGCCTCCCAGCACAGGTGCCTACCAGGTGAGGTGCCTACCAGGTGAGGTGCTCGGGTTCCTCCAGCACCGCCACATCCACCTCCTCGTCCGGCACACACTCTGACACGTCCGACCCTGCCGTTGCACACACGCACATGGACGCGTAGAGAGGCTAAGCTACACACCGATTTACTGCAGTGCATAACAAGAAGCACAGCCCATAAGACGGGCCTAGGCAGGAAGCGGCGTTGAGGCAAGGGAAACAAGAAGCCTAGGCCCATGCACAGCCCATAAGACGGGCAAAGTGGATGGATGGCAGGGACTCAACGGCAGGGAACGAATGGCAGGGTAAAGTATAGAATACTACTACGGAGAATGGGGTTTGCTTACGGTCCAGAGGGAAGATGCTGCCCTTGCGCGGGTCGTACCACGCGTCGTAGAACGAGATCCGAAACACGGGCTCGAACCCCAGGCGCTTGTGGATCCACTCGCGCACGAAGGCCTCCTGCTGCGCGCGTGTGTCGAACACGTGCGCGGGGTGCACGACCCGCTGGTCCGAGGGCGGGATCCAGGGCAGCAGCAGCAGCACGCGCATGGCGCATAGGCGGCTCAGATAAGCCGCTCGCATCAACGGGTTGATGCTCGTGCCTGGGGGGGAGGAGGGGGAGGGAGGGAGGGAGGGAGGGAGGGAGGGAGGGAGGGAGGGAGGGAGGGAGGGAGGGAGGGAGGGAGGGAGGGAGGGAGGGAGGGAGGGAAAGAGGGGAGCAGAAGGGAAGGGAAGCATGTGAGAGGTCGAACGTGGAGCCTCAGCGTGCTCGTGGATCAGGGGGAGCCGCAGCGTTGGTGCAAGGGGAGGGGAAGCAGCGTTGGGGCAAGGGGAGGGGAAGCAGCGTTGGCGCAAGGGGGGGAGCCGCAGCGTTGGCGCAAGGGGAGGGGAAGCAGCGTTGGGGCAAGGGGAGGGCAAGCAGCGTTGGGGCAAGGGGAGGGGAAGACCGGGGGGGAAGAGCCGCAAGCAGGGGAGGCGGCGACACAAGGAAGGGATATGAATGAACAGAGACTTCGAAACGAGATGTCACGGGTCAAATTCCCCACCAGTATGTTGGCTCGACAGGGCGAGGTGCAGAGTGGTGCAGAGTGGCACAGAGGAGTGCACAGTCAAGCACACGCAGCAGACAATCAGAGCGAGAGCGAGAGGGAGAGCGGAGCCCCACGCACCAGTGAGCCACGGCAGGGAGGCAGTGGTGACGATGGTGATGATGTGGTCCCCACGGCACATCTCCAGGGGTAACGTCGCCACGCCCCGCGCCAGTTCAAACGGTTTCAGGCAAAACTGACGGTGGAACGGCAGCGCCTCCTGCATTCTGCCGGCTAGCCGCCTTCTCCTCTGCACCTGCGCCGTCCGCTGCTGCAGCGCGCTGCGCTGGGCGGAAGACTCCGTGGGGGGGAGGGGGCCGGGAGAGGGGTGGCGGAGGAGGGAGAGGGAGCAGCGCCCGGAGGGGAGGGAGGCGGAAAGGATGCGCAGGGGGACGGTGGAAGGGGCCTGCCGCCCTGTGTTGAGGGGGGGGGAGTGGCGGGGGGAAATGGGGGAAGAGGGGAGGGAGTTGAGAGGGTGGGGGACAAGCAGAGGGGACGGGAGCAGATGTGGAGATTAGGGGAGAGGTGAGAGAGGTGCGAGAGGGTGAAAAGAGAAAGGGGAGAAGGGTGTTTGCGGAGGGGGCGAGTGACAAGGAGGAGGTCGCGAGGGTGGTGTGAGTGTGTGTGAGAGAGCGTGAGAAAGGGGCGGGGGGGGTTGCAGGATGGGGAGAGAGAAATGGGGGGGAGGACGAGGGGTGTAGGTAGGAAAGGAGGGGAGGAATAGTGGGGGGAGGACAAGAGGGGTGCGGCAAGCAGACCCTTGGAACACAAAACCCACACACCCACACACCCACCGCTCATCCCAATATCCTCGTCTCGATCTGCAGAGCGCAGTGGCGGACAGCACAGCCACAGCGCTGCTGCTGCAACAGGGAATGCTGCCACAGGTTCAATGCACGGCGGGCGGTGGCTGCCGACAGCACGGGCTAGTTTTAGGACGTCTCAAAAGCGCATTGCCCTGGCTGGGGAGCCACTACGTCGCCGCCACTAACGGACGAGCCTCTCGCGACGGCGTTGCGGACGCGTCAAGGGGTCCCGCCCGACCAAAGCGCGATGATCGGACGGCTGCGAGGAGTTCAAGCTCAGCCGCCGCAAGTTACGCGCGCATAGCGTCGCTGCCAGAGACTATTGCGCATTCTAAAAAAGAAGCGGGAAAAAAAAAACAAAACAAAAAAACAAAGCAACGCGCGAAGCTTCAGTGCCCGGGCCTAGACTATGAACGCGCATTGCGTACGCCTCCAGTCCAGCGCTAGTAGTCGCTTGTGAACGTGTAACCCTACGAAGCTACAGAGTGAGAGTGCGACGCTGACGAGGAACACGCTCTGAATGTACGAGGGTATGCGTTCGCCAACGCGAGAAAGACGGGAACAGGGGAAGCACGCGAGTAAGTGGGTCGACGAGCAAGCACCAGGCGGAGCTGAATAAAATATAAAGATAGGCTCTGATTCCAGACAGTAAGCGGGGCTGTGAACGCTGAGCTTGAGACGTCTTTCACGTTTTGTGAGCCCTGACGTGGCTCTGTGAGAACTGACGTGGTACTGCGAGCACTGACGTGGCACTGTGAGAACTAACGTGGTACTGTGAGACCTGACGTGGTACTGTGAGCGCTGACGTGGCACAGCGAGCACATACATCGTGGAGCGGAATCGAAGTAGGGCTTGAAGCCGTCGTAGATGACCGCGTCGATCGACCCGCCCAAGATTGCCGCTCTCACAAGACCATGGCGGCCGTAGCTGGTGCCGCTACCGACAAGCGGACGCTCCTCCGCAACCCACGCCAGCAAACCCGGAGAGCCTGCAAATGGATCCGACCTACTAACACGACCGTGCGACTCCAGCGTGGCTGCGCGCCGGGAAACGAGGCGAACAGTGGAAGCAGACGAACGCCTGTCTAAGGAGCTGGAAGGCGGCGAGTGCGCTGCAGAGTCGACGTTGGCGATGGCGTGTGTGGGGAGGCTGGGGCGTGTGTCTCGGCGAGCAAAGACGAGAGCTATATCGGCCGCGCCAGTCGTTGCTCTACTGCGGCTCGTGTGCTTGTTCATGCCGTGCCTGTCATCAATCGACAGAGGATCCGCAGGTCTGTGATTGAGAGAAGATAGATACGAATGGTGGCTGTATGAACGTTTAGGGCAGGCACGCTAGGACAGCAGCAGCACACCACAGAACGCAGAATTCTAAAAGGGAAATCAGCCGTTTGTACCGTTTGTACCGCTTGTATTTCACCACAGAAAGAGCGTGTGTGGTGTGGGCCACAACGGCGTGGTTGGTTTGTTTGTTGGGATTAGGTTCGGGAATAACCTCAAGGTTTGTTCTTGAAGTCAGGCCAGCCCCGGGCCGAACCGACCCTCGATCTCGTCTCGGCTCTCACGCACAGCCCTGACGGATGGCTCCAGACAGCTGTGGACATGTGTTAAGAATATCACCTGTCGGAATCAGTTACGGCAGGGTGACCGAGTTCGAAGCCAACTTGGACGATGGACGTCCTAAGAGTCGGTGGGATTAAGCACCCCATTGTTTAAACCTGCCCACATTCTGGGCCGAAGTGCCGTTGGTTCGGTTCGGACACTTGGTGGGACTAGGCGCGGGAGTCGGAAGCGCAAGATTGGTCTGGCAGCGCGTGGTTTGCCGCCACTCCAATGTAGTCACGACAGCTGACAGGCATGAGCCATGTTACACACTCAGCAAAGCCGTGTTACACGCAAAACTCAAGACTTCGCGCCCAGTGATGAAACCGAGCGGCTCGGAGAGCCACACAGCTTCCCTGTCTCAGCCCAAAGCTACACGCAATCCAGGACAAAGCAATCGTCTTTTCCACCGACCGTTATTACTCTCCCATTGGTTTCATACGTTAGAGTTCGGTTCCTCAAGGTTCAAAGGGGTATATCCCTAAACCAGCTTCAACGTGTCGCAGCGTGCGTCACCTCACCACCATCACCCACATTGCACTGTATGTGGGACACACTCTCGGGACACGGCTAATGGGCGTGTCAAGCAGGGATAGTATGCCATCTCAACTATGTACCAACAAGTGTAAACAGTCTAATGTGTCCGCTGCGGTCGAAACCCACTGCACCGAGGGAAACATGTCTACATTTTGCTAAACCACAAGGCACGAAACATGTGGAGTGTAATAACATTCGCCAAACACTCGAATACTAGCGTCAGGCGACGCGACGCGGTCAGCACATATTTTCGCACGCATGTTCGCGACAATCGGCGAGCGAAAAACGGATGTGGTATTCCGTCGTGACGCAATACCCCACCATCTCTGTCAGCACCTTCGTGACGCAATGCAAGCCTTTTTTTGCTCGGATCTGACGTGGATTTCACAATGTTTCGCTGGTCGGCTTGGTGAGTCAACGAATCAGGGCCCTTAGAACAAGAAGGCGTCCAAAATATCCCCTCCTGCCTGACTTCCTGTGGGGCTCGCTTCGCTTCGTCATGCTACAGTAGATGGATGGATTGCTGGTTGGTTGGGTGGGTGGATTGGAGCAGGGATAGGGTCAAAACTCGACTGCCCTGCCCACTGCCCTGGAGGAAAGTTTCGGAACCCCGACCTACCCCCGTACGTGGATCTGACCGAACACTTCAACCCAAACCAACACTCGGCTGTTCTACCATTTCTCAACTCTGCTTTGTACCAAGCACAAGGTGTTTTGTCTTCGAAATCTTCCCCAACACGCATTCGTTTCGTTCTGGGGCACCACCCCACGCGGTCAGGGTGTTGTCAATGTATGTACAGCCAAAAACTGTACTGAAATATCGAGCTGGGACTGTACGCCTGTGGGCCCATGCGTGGCTGAAACACCACAAGCTGGCAGGCCTCTTGCTAACAGGACAATTACCCTTAATTGATAGAAATTAAGAGTAACTTGTCAAGTGATTCCGTTTTTTTCACACTGCGATTTTTTCCCCGAATCCGTCCATTTTACGGAAACAATTTCGTGTGAGTCCTGAGCCTAATGAGTAACTCTTTTTCGAATCCGTACGGGCAATACTTGTAGCAGGGCAATCTGTAGGGGGGCTATACTTAGCCCCCTCCCCCCCCCTCCCCCTCCCCTTCCCTCCGTTGATCACTTGCTAATCGAATTTGTGGCGGCCGATTCCTTTCGGTAACGGGTTTTTTTCGGTAACGGGTAATCCTCAGGCGATTCTGTCCCCTTCCGGAATACCCTCGGGCTTAGCAAGAGGCCTGGCTGGCAGCCAGCTCCCCTAGTTTCACACAGCGTCCATTGGCTTCAATTAGCTCTGCTCCGTGACACCCCTTCCACACCCCTCTTCAGTCCTGCCAGCCTTCGCTTTCCTCCCGAAGCCGCCGCGTTCCAGCTTCTCTTTATTGGACTGGCGTCGTGCGTTTGACTTGGAATATGGATTTTCGTTGTAATCCGCGGCGAGATATTTATTCGCCATTTTCGTCTCTAACTGCAGGACGCGAGCGTGCCCAGCTAAGCAAGATTCTCTAAAGTCAGTGCTGGTACTTAATAAAGAGATATTTCTCCCCCCCCCCGATCGAATACCCTGCTCCCTGTGGGGCCCTTTATTAGCAACGCGCTGGCAAATCATGGCAATTTCCGCTCCATGCATTGGTGACCGCGCCGTTCCACACGTGCTGTCGACGCCACGACGAATAAGCATCTACTACGAATGCTGCCGCTGCTGCAAGACCCCGCTCATGTGCCTTTGCAGCGGAGTCTTTTTCGCTGGCTGGGTCTTACTGACTCTCTGCGCGGTGCGGTGCGGGCGCGGCAGAGTCAGGATGATAGTCCTTCAATCCACGGCGAATTCTTTAGTTCGAGTCCTCTTTTCCGCTCGCAACGTGTTGGCCAGTACTCGCATCGTGCCTCCCAGTTCCCTTCCCTCCCTCAGGCATATTGCCCCACGGACTTCACCTATTTCGTTGACGGAGTCCGACAGATTTTCAGTCTCACTTCAGTCTGACTTCAGTCGCGCCTTCTCGAGATGCTCGCAGTCGCTTCTGCTCGCCGCGGCGACCATGGCTCATCTTCCCGGGCTGAGGTCGAAATCGACGGTCAAGATGATTCCTACGGATGGACACCGACGGTCCTGATGGCGCGGTCGTGCAGCGATTCCAGCGCACCCACGAGCAATTACGCTCCGGCCAACAATCCCCCGAGGCCGTTCTCCCGCCCCACGCCTCCGCGGAATCCGCGGGGCTTCCGCAGCCAGCAGGCTCCTCGTCCGCGCCGGCACTCCTTCAGCACCTTCCACGAGCTTTCCGACGGCTTCGTCCGCGGCTCTCCGAGTCGAGAGTCGCCGCTTGCGACGCAAGGGACATCCGAGCCGGACCAGGCTCAGTCTGCTAGTAACGCCGCGGATACGCGCTGCCATCATGGCAGCGGAACCGCGAAGAATTTGACCGAGCGCCGCGGTCCATACCTCCGCCAATTGTTTGAATCCCCGCCGGAGGGTTCTGCACGGATCGCCGCCGCGGCAGGGGCGTCTGTAGCGTCGCACACACCGGCCGCCCTGCTCGCTGCTTACTCGGCGTTCCAAAAGCAGCCTGCGCCCCCCCGGCCCGCTCCACAGTCCGCGCCGTTCCCACCCAGCGCGGCTGCCGCATCATCCTCCGCTCCAGCTCGAGTTGGAGGTACCGGACAGGCGCGAGCGTCGCTGCGGCACCAACGGGCGCGGTCCATGGAATCCGTGCTGGAAGAACTGGCGCTCCTGAGGCGGCTGCGAGACGCCAAGGCGGGTCAAGAGAGGATAGCGAGCGATGAGAGAGGCGGCATGTTCGGATGTTTGACAGTGGCTGCAGGGCTGCCATCGTGCAATCATTTCAGAAGAAGACAAGAGACGCCAGCGCGGATGCCAACGCCAACGCCACACGGACAGCTCTCGGCGCTTGAGCCAATCACCCTCCGGCCTCGGCTGAAGGTCCAGTCTCAGTGCACGAGGCAGGCGGCTCCCCACAGGCAGCCAGCTAAAACAACGAGCTCTTCTCGCTGCACTGCTGCAGCTTCCAGTAGAAGCACTGCCCCTGGCGACTCACCCAAGGCAAAATTCACAGCCTGTGTTGCGAGGCGAGCCTGCTCCTGTGCGGTAAATTCACCTCAGCCAGCTAAGGTACAATCACCCCATGCTGCTGACTTGCCTCCTCAAGCATCTTCACCAACTGTCACGAAGGTTCGTCAAGCCTTCTTCGCAAGCCACGTCAGCATCACCCCCGCCTTCCCTCCTACTACGTCAACATCAGCCTTCTGCTCGTCTACAACGCCTGCACTCCCTGCCCCATCTTCCCTGCCAGCATCAGCCTCTTCCGCACCTCCCTATCTCCCGTCAGACTCCAGCTGCAATTACTCATCATCTGCCCACTCCCCCTTGTTGCCCTTCACTCTGAAGGAGTCAGATTCAGCAGCAGCAACTTGTACTCGAAATGCCGAAACACAGTGCAAGTTGGCCCCTAACAATGGTACCAGCAGCTGTTGTGAAACTGAGGCCCTGCCTACGTATCAGCTGCTGCCTGGGTCACCAACGAGGGAGAAAGACCCTCTACAGAGAATGCCCAGGACATCAGCTGCAGGAGGGTGTGATGAAGGGTGCACCAAGCTTGGTCGGCCATCGCTGCCCATGAGCCAATCATATCCACCTGCTGGTTTGGTTGTCACACAGACGGTTAGTGCTGCGGGTGGGAGAAACTCTTCAAGTGTAGCACCAGGGCAGAAGGAGCAAGGCCAAGATACAGAAGGTAGAGTACAGCAGAGAGCCCATGACTGCAATGTTCTGCGAGGGGCACTACTAGATACGGGCTTTAAGCAAGCCGTTTGCTTACGGAGACAAGCAACAAGGCGCGTTCACTTCAACAAGTGTGTAGAAGTGTGGACTTTCCTATCAGAAGTGTGAAGCGCCCAGTGGCAATGGTCTCGAGGAGGTCCACATCATCAATTGTGCTAATTTGCTCTACTGTTAGACGACCTTTAGGCGGGGCCCTAGAAAGGGCCTTCTGCACATCGAAGCATCTGCTTTTATCATATATGCCGTTATGATGTCATCAGCTATGTGTGCCTAGAGGCGAGGACAAGTGTCTGGAACAAGTAGTTTGAAAATGCCTTTTCTTAAGGAGTATTCCGCAGCGAGTGTCAGACCCGAGGTTGACCCGCGGCCGAAAGAGCCGCGGGTTGTCACAACCTAACTGCGGGTTTAATTTTCTTGACGGTGCAGGGGCTGCATAGTCGCGAACTTTCGCGAGGGGAGGATTGCGACTATACTGGTAGAGCTTTTCAAGTCCAACAGAAATTTACGAAGTTATGACGGGTGGAAGTTCATTTGCGCGATTTTGTTAGTTGTTCGGTTTGACAGCTGACTGGCTGGAGCCGTCAGTTTTTCGCAAGACCCAAGGCACATTTTTTCCAGCCTCGGATCTTACCTCTCTAACACTCGCTGCGGAATGCTCCCTTAACTCGGGAGTGTACACGAAGTAAGCTGTGCATGATGAAAGGTTTGACAATTTCGTCGAGTGTCAGTGTGTTTCGATGATGGCGGACGAGCTCCAGAAATAGATATTCCACCTGGATGGCAAGGAACATATCATTCTCGGTATCTCCATGACCGTTCGAGTCGTTTCTCTCCAACGTCTCCAATCGTAGTGAAACTCTTTGCATCCTATGTTGCAGCCATCGAGAGCCGCGAGCTTACATATTTTGTGGGGATTGCGCAGCGACCGACCAGAGGTTTCCTGTGGCTCGCCACCCAGCCACAAGGACGCTCACCTAGAAAGCTGTGAGCTTGAAGCATCCGAATTCATGACCAAATGCACTTCAGCTCAGCCTTGTGCACCCGCCTCTCCCAGGCCGGGCTGTTCTCAAAGCTCGTGCCATCCGCCTCGCCACCGTTTGCAAGACTTCCATTGTTGAAGTCCACTTTCTCTCAATTCAACGCCAGAGCTTCACCTTGTACGAGACATCCGGTTTACGTCAGCTCTCGCTTGCCTACCAGCCACGCCCCTTATCGCACGAGCTGTTCCCTCAATATGCCTGTGCTGGATCACCTTCCCAAAATGCTCGGCTCGTGCGATCTGGCGTTGACGGGTCACGAGCTCACCGCATTCGGCCGCACCATCCTCACTGACGTGCCTGACAACGTCATTTTCCCGCCAATGGAAGGACCCGTCGGTTGCTCTGGAGTTTTCCTCGGAGTTCGTTTCGACTCTGCTAAGAGTCGTCACGTCTTTCCCATCGGAACGCTAAGGTGAGGGCAAATGGTTGAGATAACGCCTCTGTTGATACCGCACACACTTAGAACATCCCGACTTGTCTTCTCTGCAGAAACCTTCGGTTTTTGTGCTGCTACCGCTTCAAGCTCTGGTGGATGACCCAGCGAGTTGGTAGCAACGGAAACGAGGTTCCTAACGAGACTCAGTTCCTGCTCTTGGAGGCTGATCGTGACAGTCGATCTCCAAAAGAGTCGGTCTACGTTGTGATGCTCCCTCTTGTTGATGGATCTTTCCGAGCAGCCATTCAGGGCTCATCGAATGATATGCTTGAAGTCTGCTCAGAGAGTGGTAATTCATGCAGCATTCTTGTTTTTGCCTGGTAGTTGGTGCTCTACGTGCGCCCTAACCTGCTCTCGTGCGTTTGCGATCGCAGGAGATCCGGATGTCCAAACGCGTGAAAGTACCAAGGCTGTTTTTGTCAACGCTGGCAGGGATCCCTACAAGCTACTGAATGAATCTGTAAAGTCCGTTGACTGATAAGCTTTATTTTTTACGCACCACCTCGTTGCTACGTTGATTCTAATGTGGATGTGACCTTCCCTTTCATGCAGGTCCCTTGAGAAGCACTCAGGGAACTTCCAGCATCGAGAGAAGAAGACAGTACGCTTTTTTCGTCCAGCGTTTTCCCTCTATCCTAGTTCTGCAATAAATCTGAAGTTGCTGTTTTGTGTGGTGATTCAGCTCCCTGGATTCGTTGATTACTTCGGATGGTGCACATGGGATGCCTTCTACACCGACGTGGACAGGGATGGAATCCGTAAAGGACTGTCCAGGTGGGCAGCAATAGGGCAACCGGTCCTATTTGACTGTGTGCGACTCGTCATTGAACTTGTATGTAACCTTATGTCCTTTACAGCCTTGCAGAGGGAGGAGTTCCAGCAAGATTTATGATTATTGACGATGGCTGGCAGGCGGTTGCTGCCGACTTTCATGGAAAAGCAACTTTGACTCCTGAGACGCAGTAAGCATCGCGTTTTATTTTGGCCCTAACTGATTTTCTCTTCCTGGACGTTGCTGACAGGTGTGCTCCTTTTTCTTCGCAGGCATTTCAGCCGGCTTGTGGATGTTAAGCCAAATGAGAAGTTTCACTGTGACGAGGAGGAAGAGTCTTGCGTTGACGGCCCTCGGAACCTTAAAGATCTGGTTACATCAGCAAAGGGCGATTTTGGCCTGAAGTAAGTACCACTCATCATGGTCGTGGGTGGTATCTTAAAGTGTTGCTAATTGGTTATAGACGACTTGCAGGTATGTCTACGTCTGGCATGCGCTCATGGGATACTGGGGAGGCGTCAACCCAACTGCTGCTTCCACTCAGAAGTTCCTGGCAGCTGTCAAGTACCCTGACTTCTCCCCATCTGTCCTGGACAAGCCTGACACGGTGCTGGACCTGATAACCAAGCATGGCTTAGGCGTAATAGACCCGTCCAAGATCCACGAGTTCTATGATGAGATGCACAGCTACCTGGCTTCGTGCGGCGTGGATGGGGTGAAGGTGGACGTTCAGAGTATATTGGAGCTGGTTGGCGGAGGACATGGGGGGAGGGTTGAAATAGCGAGGGCATACCACACAGCATTGGAGGCATCAGTTGCCAAGAATTTTAAGGAGAATGGTGTGATTGCGTGCATGAGCCACAACACAGACAGTATTTACATGTGAGTGGCGTTTCATTTTGCTGCACCTAGTGCACACAACAGAAATGATCTTGCAGGACATCTGACTTTCTCTGTTGCTTATGAGCTTGCAGGACACAGCAGACAGCAGTAGTCCGAGCCTCTGACGACTTCTGGCCTAACGACCCTGCATCTCACACAATCCACCTCCTTGCAGTAAGGGGCTCGTACTGCTGGGCCTGTGTTCTATCAATGTACTCGATGCTGTTCTCATTAGCATGACACGTGTGTGTTGATTCACAGGTGGCATACAACAGCATGTTCCTAGGCGAGTTCATGCAGCCAGACTGGGACATGTTTCATGTGAGTAGAGTGCATATCTTGCTGCTGCTCCTGTACAGAAGCTAGTTGTTGTCCCCTATTGACGGTTCTGTGTCCTCCTGCAGTCCCTCCACCCAGCAGCGGCGTTCCATGCTGCTGCTCGAGCTGTTGGAGGCTGTCCTGTCTATGTGAGGTAAGCAGCTTGCGTACCATTCTAGCCATTCCGACATGCCCCATTGTGCTCTTTGCCACATGATACATCCTAGTTTTCCGGGCTGATTGATTCTAGTCTTTTGCACACTGCAGTGACAAGCCTGGCCAGCACAACTTCGAGGTGCTGAGAAAGCTGGTCCTTTATGATGGCTCCATTCTTCGAGCCAAGCTCCCTGGGCGGCCCACCAGGGATTGCCTATTTGTTGACACAGCAAGAGATGGCCAAAGGTAAAAACATTACCAACTCACTCCCCCCTTCCCTTCCCCAACCCTCTCCCTTCTCTCGCTTGCTTCCAATTCCCCTCTCCACCCAGCTGTACTCTCCCTTTCTCTATTCCATTCCGCCTGACTTTCCTGTGCGACATCTAAATTCCTTCTTTTGTGGGTCTCAGCCTACTCAAGGTCTGGAATTCGAACTCTTGCAATGGAGTCCTTGGAGCATTTAACTGCCAGGTGAATTGTGGATGATTTGGATTCATGTGCCCCTCGTAGCACTGACTATGCCGTCACTAATCACTAACTTTATTTGGAAACGCCTGCAGGGTGCTGGCTGGTGCGAAGACACACGAAAATACAGGTTTCATGAGTCTGAGACCAAGGAGCTTGCAGGAACCATCAGTGCCAGCGACATTGAAGGGCTGGCAGGACTTGCTGGGGCTGACTGGGAAGGAGACGTTGCAATTTACTCGCACAATTCAGGTGCTGCTCCTGTCTACCTTGTGAAAGGCTCTGTGGTGCTGTCTAGTCATGCAAAGAGCAACTGACCATGCTTCCCTATTAACCCCTCACAGGAGAACTCGTCCACCTTCCTAAGGGTGCATCCCTGATCGTCGTGCTTAACCGGCTAGAGTTTGAAATCTTCACGGCATCTCCAATCCAGGTAAGTTGCTACTTCATGCACCAATCATCACACACGGCATTGAATAACATGCCCAAGTGATGTTGCAGAAACTACTCCATCAAAGTCTCTACGTGCCTGTGTGCTGTGCTCTCTGGTTGCAGAGAGCTGGACAAGTTGAGTGTGCCGCTATTGGTCTGGCTGGCATGTACAACAGTGGTGGAGCTGTGCTGTCCACATCCACACACAAAAAGGCCCTTCCAGCTCACAGCAATGCTTTCTACTGTCTGAGCACTAGTGTCAAGGGCAGCGGCATGTTCATTGTATGCTTCATCGTGCCCAGTGGATTGCCTTATCAATGGAGAGAAGACACAGTTCAGCTATGATAAAACAAGTGGTCAGGTTGAGCTAGAGCTTCAATGGAGTCCGAGTGGCAGCCAGGTTGATTTGCTGTGGCGGTGAGATAGGTAAACCCTCGTGAATAAGTTTGCGTTGGAATTCATGTCTTCGCTTCATTCTGCTTCGTAGCACATACCGTAACCGTTTGTATGTCCTATCTGACCAGATGGAGAGATCATGAGCAAATAAATGAATGAATTTGACTATCTCAGGTGTACAATAGGTCCTATGGAGCTAACTGACGCTTCACATAGACCATGGACTAAACCTAGGAGGACCCTAGGCCCTCTGAGAACACTGCTATCCCTAAGAAGCAGACTTCAGTCTGCTGCTGGAGGGGAAAACTACGTGCTGGAGGTACCTGCCGTACAAACAGCCATTCACTACCACCCTTCACTGCGCTGAGGCTTGCTCCAGGCAAAGCTCGTCTGTGGGCCCGCTCTTCCCGGCAGCAGCTGTTCCTCCGACGAGTCCACCGCGTTCACAGCCTGCCACCCCGCCATCTGCCGGAACCACCCTGACACCTCCCACGTAGCCGCCGTTTTCCCTCCTGCCCCAGCTGACGTGTCCATATCCTCGTCAAGGCTCCGCCACGCGGCCATCTCCACCTGATGCTGCTGCTCCTGGGGCGCCCTAGCAGCAGCGCTAGCCCAAGCGGCCACATCCACGCCGCCAGATACCCCCTGCCTTGCCGTCAGCGCAGCCGTCACCGTCGCCGTCGCCATTGCTGGCACTGGCGGCGCTGGCACAAAAGCTGCCGCCGCCGGCACTGCGACTTGCTTAAACGCTCCTCCCCGCGCGTCGACGGGGGTGGCGCAGGGCGCGGATGAGGCGGGGGCGGGGGGAGGGCAACGGACGATGCGGTCATTGACGGCGGAAGCGAGGAACTGGCTCATAACAGTAGGGCTCAGCATCGTGGGGGAAGCGAGCGGGCCCGTGGGAGCAAGGGGAATGACCAGGCGTTGGGGCGGAAGAGGGGGGGAGGCGGGCTGAACTGCGCGCACTGCAGTCGCAACCCCGTTGCTGCTGCGGATCACATGCACGGGCCGGTAGCCGCCTTTAGTCGCCGCATGCGACGACGACGACGACGATGACGAGGGAGGTGCTTTCGCATCAGAGCTATCAGCGCTTGCGACGCTGCCCGCGCTGCTGTTACCCCAGCTGAAGCTGTCGCTGCCGCAGTCGCTAGCGACGTCGCCCGTGCTTGCGACGCTGCCTGCGACGCTGGCTGTTGTCGCAGGTTCGAGGCCTTGCAGGTCAGGAATTGGAATATCCGGAATGTCTTCGTCGTGTAGCGATCCAAACCCGCCGAAAGACACGGGTAAGGGGCTGGAGGGCTCGCTAGCCTCGGGGGAGAAAGGGCCCTCGCAACGCGGGGAAGTCGGGGAGTCCATCATCCCCGCGAGCGGGGGGCCGGTGCAGATGGGCGGAATGCGCAGGTGGGGGGGAGTTGCGCGCCGGATGGCGCGCCCCATGGGGACGAGTTGGGGAAGGGGCTCAGCGGAGGTGGAAGGGGCGAAAGAGGAGGAGGAGGCGGAGGAGGGAAGGGCGGAAAAGTTGCTGGATTCGGTGGCGGGAAGAAAGCGGTGAAGCTTTTCTGCTACAAGAATCATCGTGAAAATGTTTGTATCGAAGCGACGGGCCGAGGGCGCGGCGGACGAAGGGCGACGGCGGAGAGATGAATCGACTAGGGTGATTTTGCGCGACAGATGCACAACAGAGGGTGGATTCCTGGATGTGAAGAACGAAACGACCTAGGAGTATCTACTAGCTCATCACAGTGGCACGGCTGACTACTACGGAGGGGACTACCGGAATAGGGGATAGTTGCTATGTGAAGCGCGAACAAGAGCTCGATTTTTGCTGTGGAGGTGTGGCCGTTAACGAGGGGAAGAAGCTTATTGTGTGTAGAGTCAGCGAATTTCTGCGGCTGGCCGGGAATGACGCAGAGTGACGAGTGGGATCAGGCGGACTAGGAAGAAGTGGGGGACTCGTCAGTGGCTGCGAAAGCCCTTGGGGGTCATCGGACCGTAGACGAAGGCTTGATCGTACGGTTACTGGGCTATGTAGAAAGAAATTGGCATGTGAGTGAGGCGCAAAAAAAATTGTCACTTGAAGGTAGGATACGACAGCATCATCCTCTGTTGTCGCGGCTCGCGTCGACAGCGAGCTTGCTTGGCTTGCCCGCTGCTGGGTTCAGGTTAGGGTTCGCTACTGTACAGCCGTCCTTGCCTCCACCCCGGACCAGAATTGCTGGGCCCCTGGGCTTTCAGTTCGTGCAAGATATGGCTGTTGTGGCGGAAGGAACGTCACCCAACACCGCACAGCAGTACTGCACACGTCGGCTGACTCAGCTCACTTCCCTCGTTGCTCGTCTACACTGCTGCTGACGACGTTCCAGCAAGTGTGTGCCTGTATTGGAAGGAAGTGGTGGGGGGAGGGGAGGGGGGAGGGAGGCCCGGTTCGACGCAGGTTGGTTTGGGAGTGGGTGATGGAATTTCTCAATTCCCGAACGTCCTGGTTGTGGCAGTGCGGTACCCAGGCGTGTCGTGAGCACGGCTTACCTTAGGGTTTTCCTCCACATGGCAGATCCGGGCATCGCGGGACCCGGATAAAACGGGTTCATCTGGAGCGTTACTCGTCAAAACCCGGGCTCAGTTCTGGGAATTTTTCCGTGATGACAAACGCTCTTACAGAAAGTTCCTGGATTCTACAGAGGGAACCACGTGAGAGTACTCCGCTCAGCTCTTATACTTCCACTTGAACTTCCTTGCTATGGCTAATGTGCCCTGGGGAGAGGGAATGGCGGGGGGATCTGTGGGGTAGTGTGAGTAGTTCTGGTCAAAATGATCCGTCAGAGTCCGGGTTCATGAAAATCGAACACGTCGCAATCCGACTTCGGTCGAAACATCACCCGTTATTTGGTCAAAATGCGGGTGATTACCCGTCACGAATAAGCCACTGTTCATGACAACGACGCACAGCAGGGAGCGCTGTGCTGTGCGGTGTGCGTGCACCACCAATGTCACCCCCCATACAGAGCTTACGCTAGTTTTTTGGGGAGCTCCGACAGGAAAGGCGACCCTCAAAATTTACCCTTGAAATACGACTCAAAACAAAATCGTCCCTTATAAAAAAGAGCTTGCACGGAAACCACTCGTAGGACTCGAACAAGACTTTCTTGGGATACATAAATTGCACGACCACTGAGGCAGTCGGTAGGGATCAGCAAGGCCTCCATTTACCACACGCGCAAGAGAATCCCAAGACATGACATTCTGCCTTAGCGTTGGAAGGAAAACCTAGACACACTTTGTGTCAGACAGATTCAAGGCTGGAATATAGGTTTGCTTTATGAATACGCAGGAGTGAGACGAGGCAGAGAGGGGCGAGTGAGAGGGAGGGAGAAAAATCGCCTCAGATTGGGGAAATATGACGGGTGTGAACTGACAAACCGAAGGGGGTGGAGTGGGGGGCAGGGGCGTGGTTGGGGAGGGGGAGTGGTAGAGTTAAAGAATAAACGCCATGCCCTGAAAAGTCTCCGTACAGAAAAGGTGGCATCCAAAACAGCCCTGAACTAAACGGAAGGGTTTTTATCAGACACTTTGAGCTACAAGGTCCAGCCAAAATTTGCCTTGGAAACAAGTCCAAAACGGGCATTTACCCTGTTAGCATAAGCCCTACTCCCATCCCAACCGAAGGGACGAGGGAGGGGAGGAGGGGAGTGGATGATGTGGGATCAGGTTGGCAATGGCAACCAGCCAGCCTGATCGACGTCGAACGAGCATCCTGCCGACAGGACCAGCTGAGGCAAAGAAGCAGCCGCCGTCAGCCTCCTACGGGTGCTTGCGCGGCGCTAACGAGAGCCAACCAAAGCAAAACCAATTTCGCCATGGTACAGTGCCGCAGGGCGTGTACAGTAACGTTCGGCAGAAGCCAGCCAACCTAGAAGAATAGACTATGGGAGGTTTACCCACTACTGATGTCAAATGCTTAGGTAGGAGTGATATGAGATTGTTGTCCTGCCTTCTCGCAGTAAGTTTCTGGTTCCGTCAGGTAAAAGTCGTGAGGTACTACAGAATTGTAGGAGGATCTGAATGAGTCCTCAGACTTGACGAAGTGAGTCGAAATTATGAACCACTAATCCAGGAAGAAAACAATCTACAGTGTACCAGGACAGGATATGCGAAATCTGCTCGGCGCGGCTCGAACCGATAGGACGATGTGAACGATGTGGGCCCAATCTCATTTCCCCCTGAATGCCTCCATGCGACGCGGCTCCTGGAGAACGTTGGGCTAATCCTCCCGTCAGCAAGACGTTCTTGACATTCCCTGGCACAAACCTCCACACAGAGCGGAAGGGTTTGGTGAAAAGGAAAAAAATGAAAGCGAAGTTACTGAGGCCGCGGTACAAGACCCTGTTTTCCAGGATCGCGGACCCTCAAGGTCGGTGATTACAGGATTTCAAAAAGATTCGCCTAGGCTATAAAGGGTTTCAGTACGGTAGAACATCGGTTCGCACTCTGTCGGCCCTGGAAAACAGGGTAGTGCGTCGAGACCTGAGGGGAGGTTGACCCAAACACTGACTCATTTCCACCTATGTTCCACAATTTGGCCCGTTTGACATCAGAAGATGAATGCTTGAACCTGTTAAAATTCCAATAAGAAACCCCGGCCGCTATCTTTGACCCCGGCTATGAATGGGTTGTTTTGTATATTTATGGGTTACAGCGTAGCTAGCCCATTATGACTCGGTATGCAAGGTCAGAAACGACACTACCTGAAAGAGGACACGTGAAAACGTCTGAGGAACGTCGCACGGCAACAAGTGTAACCAGCTAAACATTGCGCACCTGACGCAGGAATCGCGGTTCGCTCCGGAAGCGCAGGTGGCGTGCGGTCCGTGAAGTGGATCCAAGAGAAAAGGGCAAACATTGAGGCACGTCGCTATTAGCGATTCGCTAGCAGAACAGAGCTTGCTTCGTACTGAACTATTTATATATTTCTGTCTAAACCAGGCTAACCCTCTCACCTCCATCCATGGGTAGATATAAATAACAAACAGCATAAACCTAGCTTGGGCCCAAGCTCTGCAGACGGCACAGTCGAAGATCTCGGCCATCTCGAAGATGCACCAGCACGATATTTGATGGCCGAAAGTTTTACACATGGAGTTCCGAGTTTGAATTACTATTGCTAAGCGCTTTGATTTTTTGCTATTTCAACGGCTCCTACCTGAGATCGACAATCGCCACTGAAGAAGCTAAGTTTCAGTATTACGATGAATCAATGTGGACTGTTAGCGTTTTTCTGCGCAATATCTCTCCCACATAGCACCACACGATTTACTCTTTTAAAACATGCACCTTCACGGCACGAGACTCCTGACTGTACTGTCTTAAAGAAGCTTAGGACACTAACTAAACTTAGGAACCTAGCTTAGCTAGGAAGGAAGGAAAGACGCCATGGAATGGCGTGAGGCAAGTAGATCTAGGAGTAGGCAAAAGTGACGAGAAAGAAGAGATTGGACTAGGAAGAGAGAGAGGTACAAGGAGGGGATTGTACCCTCTACAGAAAGGTTCAGTAACACTACCAAGCCTATCAATTATATAACTCAATATAATTTTAACACACCCCCTAGGCTTGGTAGTCACAAGCCCACACACACCCCCACACCCCCTAACCTAGCACCCCCATTCCCATCAGCTACAATGCTCCCAGCAGGGCCCAAAAGGCCTTGGAGATGGCGACGGCGGCAGTCCCGACCGCGGCGACAGCGACGGCGACGACGGGCGTGCGGCGGCAAACGGCCTGCGGCGACGGCAGCGGCGACGGCGACGGCTTCGGCTTACGGCGGTGGTGAGTGCAGCGGCCCCCGCCCTTCCGGCGGCGTGTCCAACCTCCGCGACAGGGGAACGACTGCCGAGAGTCTGCGGCGACTGTGGATAAGAGGAGGCGACAGGGGAAAGGGGGGACAGTTGGCGTGCGGGCGGTGGCGGCGTCACAGGCGTCGCGCAACCGGCTGCGGCCCGACGGCGCAGTCACAGAGCGACGTCGACGCTGCAGCAGGACGTCGACGTCGCGACGGCAGAGGCAGCGTTGATGCCGCAGCGGGACGTCGACGCTGCGACTGCAGAACGACGGCCCGACTCCACGGCAGCGCGTCGAGCCGGTCGCGGCACGACGCGGCCAGTGGCAGCGCGACGTCGCCACTGCAGCAAAACGCGGCCGCCATGGCCGCTCGAGCGATTGAGGGTGAGGAGTAAATGGCGGAAGCATGAGGAGGCGGTCCAGCAGGGAGGATCTCCTGCTCTGATACCATCTTAGAAACTTAGGACTCAAGGTTCTTAAACTTAGGAGGCTAGGTTGGCTAGAATACTAGGAAGAAGGCCGCCATGGAATGGCGTGAGGAAAACGGATCTAGGAAGGGAGAGAATGTCGAGAAGAAAGGGATTTGATTAGGAAGAGAGAGGAGTACAAGAAGGGGTTTGTACCCTCTACAGAAAGGTTCAGTAACAACCTACCAAGCCTATATTAAATTATAACTTATATAATTTTAACACACCCCCTAGGCTTGGTAGTGTCAAGCCCACGCACACCCCCACACCCACACCCACACCCCCTAGCCCAGCACCCCCATTCCCAGCAGGAGCCGCAACGACTCCGGAAGAGGGTAGGTCTCACGGCCCCTTGAGACGGCAATGGCGGCAGCAGCGACAGTGACGACAGCGGCGGCGGCGGCGGTGTGCGGCGGCTCCAGGCCTGCGGCAACAGCGGCGGCGCCGGTGGCTCGAACGACAGAGGCTGGTGCGGCGGCCCCCGCCCTCTCGGCGGCATGTCCTGTCTCCTCGGCGGTGGAGAGGTCCCTCATAAGGCAGTCATCGGCTGCAGCAAGAAAGGGGGGGATGCAGGGGAAGCAGGTGCAGATGGGGGGGGGAGGGGAGGGGGCGGGGCGAGGCGAGTCTTCAGCGACGCGCCATAAGTGGCGCGGCGCTTACTGGCGGGAGGACGGTGTCCAGAGGGACGCCCGTGGCTGGCGAGCGGGCGGCAGGTCCGGCTCCGTCGTA